TGTTGACTGTGCTGAATCATGCAAGGAGGCAATTACTTACTTTGGAACCAATCAGCAAATGTACAATCTCTTCAGTAGCAGTCCACAAAGGTGGGAAATTCGGAAGCAATATCTTCCTGTTTCACTGCATGGGATGTCCAAAACTAGATGGTCTGCATGGATTGACAGTGTTCAACCAGTTGTGCAATATTTGAATTTACTGAGAGGCTTTAAATGAGCATGAATCTCTCAGTCTCACTGCACAGGCTCAAACTGAACTTCAGTCTATTCAGAAGCACATGTCCAGATTTGTACATTCTGATGTCATCTTTGTGGATGAAGCTACTTACAATGATCCACCAAACTGATCTGGCAATTGAAGCACGCAATGCTACACTTGATGTTGAGAGGGATAACATTGAAAGTCTTATCAATGACATTCAACAGATACGTGAACAATGGGATGAGTCCAAATTAGTAGCACAAAATATTGGCATTTCATCTGAGTTCTCCATCAGTCGCAACTTATCTACTGAATCTGATGCTGTAAAGGAGCGGACTCACCCCTGCGCCGCCTCCTGCTGGTCATTGGGAATTAGCTCTTTTCCAGCCTGGAGCGCCCTCTGCAGGCCGGTGATCCACCCAGCTCTGGTCCCCGTGCCCCTCACAGACCCCATTGCCCCTTTCTCTGGGGTTCTGCTCCCTGGCCGTACCCCCACACTCTGCTTCTGGGTCTCTCTTTCCTGGGGAACCCCCAACCCACTATCCCCACCTGGCCTCAGTCTGGGCTACTGCCAGTCATCACCAAGCCCCCGCTCCCTGGGGCAGACTGCAGCATAAAGGCCATTCATCATAGGCAAGGGGGTTCGGACCTGCTGCCTTCCCCTTGGACCAGGCCCTACAGCCTGGGGAGTTGCCAGCCTGGAGTACCCCCACTCAGCCTTCTCCTTCCCCAGTGAGGCACCACCCTCAGTACCCCGTCAGCCAGGCCCTCCTCTCTTCCAGCCTGGAGAGAGACTCCTTGGGCCTCTGGCTCACAGCGGCCAGCTGGAGCCTGATTGGGGTGTGGCCCAGCTGCGGCTGCTTCCCCAATCAGCCCTCTCCAGCCACAGCCCTCTCCAGGGCTGCTTTTAACCCCTTCTAATTTAGTGTAGCCACCCCACTACAGATGCCAAGCAGCATTATAGGGTCAATGTCTTCCTTGTCATCGTTGACTCTATTCAATCAGGTCTTACACGTCGATTTGTACCCTTTTTGGGTTTCTTTGGCAGTTCAACAGACTGAGTAATGAAGATCTTCTTTCTGCAGCTGAACAATTTCAGCAACAGTACAACAAAAATCTCAAAAGATCTTAGTGACGAGGTCATCTTCCTCAAACGAATATATTCCACAAACTTTAAACTGGATTGCAAGCCAAAGGAATTGCTTCAAGAAATACTCAAACTTGGACTCTCTGGGGTGTTTCCTAATATCACAATTGCATTGCGTATTTTTGTCAGTTTGCCTGCATCCGTGGCTTCAGGTGAACACACCTTCAACGTGTTGAAGCAAGTAAAGAACTATCACCGTTCAACTATGGGACAAGAGCGTTTGAATGGGCTCGCAATGCTTAATATCAACTGTGATATTGCACGAAAGCTAGATTTTTCCTCAATAATTAGTGCATTTGCACAGAAAAAGGCTAGAAAAGCATTTGTTAAATAAAAAATATTCAAATTATGTCTCACTCTTTTTTTGGTGCCTTATTTTGTTTTCATGTGTTGTCATTTTTTATTTTTATTATGGCTAGGGGCCTCAAAAGCTGGAACTGGCCCGAGCCTCTCTGGACCTCATAGAGGGTCTGACAATGGTGTCTGCTGAACTCATCATGGAGTAGCATGGGAAAGTGTCTTCCTATGGAGGAAGAAATAAGGCAGCCAACCCTAGAAACCTCACAGAGTATCTCCATGAAAGTTTCATCGAGATCTCTCAGGAGCAGGGCCATCCCTAGCTATTCTGGGCCCTATGCAGCCCCCCTGCGGGGGTGTGTGGGGCCCCAGGCCTCTGCGGGGGTGGGGAGGCTGGCTTGGGGGGCAGGAGGGAAGCAACGTGGCTGGAGCTGGGTTGCTGCACTTCCCACTGCCAGTGAGAGCAGGCCTGGCCCTGTGGCAGTCCTCAGCGGAAGGTTGAGGCGGGGCTGGGGTGGAGCAGGGGTGGGAAGAGGTGGGGTGGCAGTGGAGCAGGGCGGGGGCTTTGGGGAAGGGGTGGGAAGAGGCGGGGCTGGGACAGAGCAGAGGCGGGGGCCACGGGGAAGGGGCGGGGGCGGGGGCTGGAGCAGGACGCAGCTGCGCAGGCACTAGGAAATTTGGTGCCCCAAGTTTCCTGGTGCCCTACACAGCTTTGTACTTTGCATATGGGTAAGGATGGCCCTGCTCAGGGGGATACAAGGGACGTCCTTATGTATAGCAACAAACTGCTCCACATGCCCTCCCTACCCCCGCCACCTAATCCTACAGGGGAATGAAAATAACTCTACCTCAGCTTGTTGCACTGAAATCTTTTCTCACACAAGTAAACTGATGAAAAGTTGATACATGTGTCTTTGGGAACCTGGGATGATCTAGGCACCATCTTTCCATTTAAACATTGTAATGGGAAAATACATGCACACGCTTACCCAAGTTTCCTTCCCTTTCATCAGGCTCATCTGTGGTTGGCTGGTAGGACTGGCAAGAATGTGGTGGCGTCTCAAAGAGGTCCTGGCTCACTGCATAGCCCATATATTCCTCCTCGTCACTATTCATGGCCAGGGTCTGTGTCTTGGGCGCCTCGGAGGTATCTGTAACGGTCTAAGGGGTGGTGGTGGAGACTCTGCCATACTCATTGTAACAGTGGCAAGCCTGTGGCTCAGCACCAGATCTTGGTCTCCCTGGCCTCATGGTATGCCCGCCACAGTTTCTTTGCTTTCACGTGTAGATGTCCACATTTCTATGACTACTCCGTAGCTGTGCCTGAGCAGTCCCTTCTCCCCATGGGCCCAGGAGATCCAATACCTCCTGTCTACTCCAGGCAGGAGCATGTCAAAAATATGCAGAGTTTTCCAAAGGTGGGGAGTGGCTTCTGGTCTCCAGGACCCTTGGGCAATGAAGTTCACCGTTGTGACCAGAGCAGTCAGTGTCAGGCATGCACTAGAGCAGTGTTTCTCAATGACCAGTCCGAGGACTGGCCCCCTTACTCCTGTCTGGGTCCCCCCTTCCCAGAGACATCGCCTGGTCCCAGGTCTGGGGGGAGGAACGCGAACAGAGGCAAGAGGGTTGGCTTTCAGCACCCCCACTATTAAATTATTTTCTAGCACCACTGCAAAAAGGTTGAGAAACACTGCTAGAGGATTAGTAGGGTTGACGTAGGTCATGCAATGTCTACACTCACTCTGCATCAACCTCAGTGCATCAACCAGGACTCGAGGCTGTCCAGGGAGGTCTTGTTACTGCATCACCAGAATGGGACTCTTATGTCAGTAGGAGACAAATTTGAGTGTAGACACATGCATGAATTGGTTGATGCAAGATGCCTGTCATCGACCTAACTGTAGCGTAGACCAGGTCTCAGGATAGTGTTTTAAAACAACCCCATAGGTGGAGCTAGACATCTCACAAGTAACATGCTGTTTGTAGCAGGATGGTTTAGGATATGAGTAGCTGGATGGCTAAAAACCTTAATATAACAATGATAAGCCAGCAGTGTATTTAAATATTGGCTGATGTTTGTAGGTCCAGACCTGGTGCTTAACAAAGACTTTTATTTTAATTACAGGTATTAAAATATTGTTCTTATTTTATTATTTGCATTGCAGTAGCACCTAAGAGCCCTAGTCATGGTGCAGAACCCCATTGTGCTAGTTGCTATAGAAACGCAGAACCAAAGGAAGGCCCCTGTGCCAAAGAGCTGACAGTGAAAGTAACAAAGGAAAGCAAATGTTAGGAAAGCAAACGTTTCCAAGTCTGTTTTTGAATGGGCTGCTGAAAGTTTGATATAAAAACTTGACACTTTCTATTAATTACAAAATTATTTGAAGTTCTGTGGAATTTACTCTTTTAAACAATGTATTTAAACTCCCTTTACTATCATATTTAAGTCTTTAAAACACATGCTTTTTGAAAAGTTTTGACTCACCATGTGAAATAAAAATATTAAACACAATGATACAACCCTTTCTCATTTAAAGTAAGTTTCAGAAAGCCTAGGGAACACTATGTGATACCTTTAAAAGCACAGGCTGAATTTTCCATGATAGCAGGCCAGGTCATCCCCATAGGCACATATCAGAAAAGAGAGGCCTGGCTTTTCATTATCTTGATTTCAACAAAACTGTGTTCCCTGCAACATACCTAATGCACGTTCTCATTGCCACGTTGCAGGTCACTCAGAACACTGACGCTGGACTATAAGAAAATAATTGATGAGGAAGTAAGAAGTTGGGGGGGGGCATGGAGGGGAGGTGATGGTGGTAAATCAGTAACATTAAGTTCCCATTAATTTAGTATGAAGAAGTTGTTTTATAACTAGTCTAGAAAGACGTTTTAAGTCAACTGGGCAGGGCAAGGTGTGCTGAAGGCTAGTTCTTCTATTCTTATTACAGGATGGAAGTGACAATTAAATACTGATTTTCATTTGTATGGAAAAGATTTTGGGTTTTCAGACTCCAGGCCTGTATTATACAATATATAAACATCATCTTAAATGTAGTGCCTTTACATTCCTAATGATCCCAAGATATTTTGCAAACTTCAGCTAATACATATAGGGATAATTTTATCCTTCACTAAAATGCAACTGGCTCTGGAGTGAAACATACCTATAGCAACTATTTAACATGAGAATGACTTAGGATTTAGGATAGGAGAAGAATTCCGTATCCAGTTAAAACTGCAAGGATACTGAAGCAGGCAGTCTATAATCCCCTACATTTGAATTCATCTCAGGCACATGATTTATACACTTATTCTTCTGAAAAGCCAAGGAAATTTAATGACTACAAATGATAAGTGATTTATGGACCCAAAGTGTTTTATCTCATCCAAAAGTCTTTTGATTCAATTTAAGACAATGAACTTCAGATTTTGAATTAGGTTTTCAGTTCTGATGCTTGAAAATTCAGAGAGATAGATGTATTATGGCCATAAAATAGTATTATTTCTTTATTGCAATTATTTCTATCGAAATAGTTTACCAACAGTTTGTGGAAAATAGGACTTTATACCTATGGATTCTTCAGTCACCCCTCCTAAGCAAGAGACCAACTCATCTGGAACTAACGTCTGCTCTTGAACATTTTCAGTGGATAGTGGACTCTTCCACTGGTTTTCCAAAAGCATATTAGGTTCTTCATCTGTTGTATTGAAAGTGTTGCTCTGTCCGCTTCTGTTGCTGTTTAAAATAAGGTTAATCTTCTCAAGTAAAAACATATTGCTCCCAGTTCCTTCAGCATTCCACAAGGAAGTAACAGGACTTGTATAATCTTTTAAGAAAACATGTGTATCTTGACTTGAGAGATATGTGTTTGGATCCAGTGCTTGGGACTGTGTTTCATAAGTATTACTAAATACGTTTCCCAGTGGGCTTCTGTTGGAAACCTGGGGCTTATAGCCATTGTTCTGCTCAGTATCTGGAGTGCTGACAAGCAGTGAGTTTTGAGAGATGTCCATATGCTCAGTGGCCACTTTTCTGTTTCCCTTTTTGGTGTCTGTGGTCTTGCACTCCTCTTGCAGTGATGTCTCTAGTACTTCCGTAATGACTGGATCATTATTATCCAAGAACAACTGGGTGGAATTGCTACTCATTAAATCACTTTTTTCCTGAAAAAAAAAAATTAACAAATAGATAATATTTTGTAAATGGTAGAAATGTCACTGCTGTTTCCTGAGAGAGAGACAGGAGCGCAGATTCAAAATCCTACTCATTTCACCTATCCTTACTGTTCTCCCTTTCGGTCTCTTTCTTAGCATGTGTTACTATCATTTAACCACCTTCTGCAAAGGGAACTAGAGGGGAGGAGGAAAGGGAACAGGTGAGTGTGCCTGAATATTTTTCAACACGCTTCAGGGCCAGTCCTGATTGTAGCACTATTATTTAATATTTAGGTTGCAGTAGAGTCTCCAGATCTCAACCAGGTTGGACCCCATGGTGCTAGGCACTGCACACACACAGAGAGATGACAGTTCCTCCCCCAAAGAGCTTGCAATCTGATTTCCAGAGCCACTCCAGAATGTCACTATGCTTGCTGTGGAATCACGGTGAGCCATGACTCATAACCACAGCATAACCTGTTCCAGATAGATTCATAGATTCCAAAGCCAGAAGGGATCGTTGTTATAAACTAATCTGACCTCCTATTAGTGCAGGCCATAGGACTTCCCTGAATTAATTCCTGTTTGAACCAGAGCATATCTATCAGAGAGAGAAGATTTCTCTCACTTTGGTCTGCATTTATTTGTCATAACTTTTTGCATATGGAGTTAAATTTGAGCTGTATAGAAAAATGAAAACAACTGGGATCTTGTTTTGACTAGTTACCTGGAGTGACTTTACCACACTGCTGTTTTCCACGTTAGGAAAATCTTCAGTCAGCCATTTTGGTGTCAATGATGCAAGTGCTGTGTTAACTCTTACATAAAATAAAATAAGTAAAAAGTTAATGTATTGTATTAGTCACTTAGCAGGGTAAAATTGCCTCTGGACAGAGTGGCAATATGAGACCTATGCACAACTTATGTCTCACTTCAGCGGCATATAGGCCTTGCATTTGCCCTCTGCCCAACGGTGACATTTACCCTAGGAGTATTAAAGGCTCATTTACTTACAGTAATGTGATATAAATAATGGTGTGCTGTGAATTCTCAGAATTTTTTTGAAAACTGAATCCCATTTTCATCATAAAAATAATGTTGAAACCTCCTGGCAAATTTCAATTTAAGTGCCCAGTTGAGTACCCCTTTCTCAGACTGAGTTCCATAGAAGTCAGAGAAAGGTAAATCCTGAACAGGGCTCTTTGGGAACATGAAAGTAGCTTGGTAGATGCAGACAAGTGAGTCAGGGCCTGATCCTGAAAGCCCTCCATATGTAGAATTCCTAAGGAAACCATGGAGAGCTCCATTTGCAGATTACATGTGGGACTCGGCCAAGAGAATATAGCTTGAATCCCACACATTTCCTATCCCTGTGAATCAGTTTGATGCTAACAGACTGACTGAGCCTGAGGGATGGGGTAGGTTGAGTCTGGCTTCACCCCTGGGAAGGGGACAGGCTCTGGAAATTGCATAATGCTTACTCTGGTCTTATGCTAGGTGGCTGCTACTGAGGAGGCAGTATCCTCTCAGATTCAGCCTTTGCAGCTGTGTAGCCTCCAAGGCCTGCGGTGCTTCCACGAATCAGAAATCACGGAAGCCATTTAAGCCCTCGTGCAAAATGTATGGGTTTAAATTTACAGTGTTGCCAGCTGTCAGACTGGAAAAAACAAGAGGAAGAGGATGCATATGTTTCCTGATCTGTTGAGATTGGCTCAGGCACATGGTCAGAAAAACGGTGGTATTGAACCTTGACTCTCTTACAATCAAAGCTGCTCTATAACCTGCACAAATGAAAATTACTTAAAAGAAACTTTAATTGAGCCAAACTTCCATGGATCTCACTGTGTGGTACAGTGTTCCTGAGGGAGTAGGAAGTCTCTGGTTTCAATTAAATGCTTTTATTTAACAGGTGCATCAACAGCAGAATAGATGAAACCTGATTCTGTGTTTGGTTCAGAGAACCCCTAAACACCATCTGTCCACATATTTCTCCTAAGCCTACTTTGTGTTAGTGCCATCCTTTGGATCATGCAGCTTAACTCCATATGCAGGTTAATCCACATTAGGAAAACCTTCAATCAGCCATTTTGGTGTTATGCCACAGGAGTCTGCTTGCCCAAGAACCACAGCATTTCACTCAAGTTTCCTGTACAGGTGTGTTTGATGCAGCAGCGGATGGATTCCTAGATATCAATATCTTAGTGAAGCACAAGATTCAAATGTTGATGTCATTCACAAATAACATGCCCATTGTTCTGTGAAGTCCCTGGTTCGGAGGGAAGGAGCAGGGGATACAATACATTTGATACTGTAGCACTGGTGAAATGGATGTCAGGAAGTCTTTGTAAAATATTTTAACTGTTCTGACTGATTTTTCTTTCTGCTGCCCCTCTCCCATGATCTATTCCCGTTTCTAAATATCCTAATGTGGGATTTTGATAGGCAAGCTCTATTTAAGTAGTAATTTCCATTTATGCCTCAGCAATAAAGTTTTAAAAGATCAAATATAAGCCAACATGAGACCAAACTTAATTAGGGTTTGGATTAAGGTTTTTTCTTATTCTTTTTTTTTGTATGCCTATTTTATGAAATACCCCTTGTTCTCTAAATATGGGCTTTACAGAGAAATGGTCAGATTATTTTGTGTTGTGATTATCTACCTTATTGTGTGTGGGGAAAAAAAAATCTAGGACATCTTTTAGCAACGTATAATTATGAATGGGGAAAGTTGCCCTGGATAACAGGGGGCTGTACAAAACTGGATCAATTTCTATAATTCTAGGTTTTCTGAGAGAGAGGTATATTCTGGAGACTAAGGGGGGAAAAAACTGAAAAGAAAGTAGTACCTTTTTCTAAGTGATTTTTTAAATATCAAAGTTAAGAAAACAATTGATAGTATGATCGCACCAGTGCCTATTCCCCAAAAAACTTCTCCATCATTATCTGAAAAAGGAGGAAAAAAAGAGAATTAATCAAATAGCTTATATCTTAGGGAAGATTTTTTTTTCTAGGCCCCAAACCTGAAAACATGTACGACACGTGTGTGAGTTGTCCCATTGAGTTCAATGGGATTATTAACACACATAAAGTTATTAATGTGCATTAGGGTTTGCAGGATTGGGGCATTAGCTTGTAAACCCTGGTGAGAGGACAAACCTTTTTCCAAAAATGAAGCTTAGAAAGGCTGAAGAAATCTTTCCTTCTTAAGAAATGTTGTTGGGCCCATTGCTCAGCTGACATACATCAGCATAGCTCCACTAAAGTCAATGGAGCGATGTTGATTTACACCAGTTGAAAATCTGGGGTGAGACACACAAAATAGAATATTGAGTGCTTGATTCAGCCCATTTGTTTAAAAATGACAAAGCAAGGGAGATGAATGTGCACTGTTGTCCTAATTGTACATTCCCTGTGCACCCCAAGCCCTCACTGTCTTCAGTGAGTGCAGGACCAGAGGCTAGAGGAGCAGCACACTTTACACTGCAGACTTCTGTACATTTGCTGCTGTGATCTGGCTGTGAGAATCTAGCTGTGGAAGGGAGTTTCCAGGCAAGCACTTCTGAGAAATATGGCCATTGTGTTTAACCATTACTTACATATAAGAACAAATGTGTACACTCCTTTTAAATTGATCTTTTATTTGGTTTTGGCTGCCTGACTCTGAACCAGCAACACAGAAGTACCTTTATTGGTTACAACAAACCAGAAAAGTAACTGAGGTTAGTGTTACATGAGAAATAAACAAGTCTTTGGCTCAAATTATGGAGTCAAAATAGCTCAGCCAACATGCCAATGTGTATGATCAGGAAATGCTATCTTATTCTTTGTCTCAGTTTCTCAGATCTTAGCTGTTGTCACATACATTTAATTTTAAGTGTCTTAACAAAACAAAAAGACCTAAAGCATAATTGTTGCAATAGCATAGTATATACAACCTCGTAGTATTATGCCCTAGACTAACCAACATGTGTTGTTTGCTTTATAGGGCTGTAGCATTCTTGTACTGGTGAAAGGGTGTGTTTTTGGCTGGGCTGTGTCTCCAGTAACAAACCAAGTGTTACTAACTTTTCACTTCTCTGCTATCACGTCACGAAACTGCCATCCCCTCTCACAGTCTCTGAGATACTATCGGTAGCACATAGCACAGCTAAAACCACCCACTTCTGGTCAAGTAGAAACTCTTGCTTACCCAGTCTGAAATACTATCTTCTTACCATAGGAAATCTCCCCTGTAGCTGTGGTGATGATTACAGGTTCAGTATAAATGCTTGTGTTTGGAAGCCTTTTCACTGAAATAATTCAATGAGGGAGAGAAAACAGTGTTGTGGTGACAACCTTACAGAATATGCTTCCTTTAAAAATTGGATCTAAAGTGCCTAAATCTGTTCAAAATGGCATTTAGGCACCCAAGACTGCTTAGGTGCTTTTTGAACATTTTACCCATGTCCTTACTGAAGGAAAAGAATAGAGCTGTTTCACTCAAGCCCCAAGGCAGCTGTTAGCACCTATCTGCCTTGGTGCCCAAGCAATTCAGTATGGATTTTTGTAGACCTGCCTGGAATTTAGACACAAGTGCAGAATGCCCATACTTACCCTTTTCAGCTCCCCCACTCTGAACTGGATGCCTGCCTGAGATTTTTCTTACCAATGCTGACTGCCAGTAAATCAGTTGCCAAACATCCTTGTCTAATGAGCCTCTTTGTATAATTTTTAAATGGTAAAAGAGAGAAATCCCTATGCCACTGTGCTGTGACAGGGATCCCATCAGTGAGATTTCATTAGCTTAGTGTGGATTTTGATGGCCAAGACCACAGACCAGTATGACAAATTGTACTACACAACTTGCCTTTATTTAAAAAAAAAAAACGTATTTATAGCCATGGAGTCCCATATCTATGTCTATCTATCTATTTTAGGCCTTCATAATCTGGACTCCCAGGAGATGGAGAACACCCACTCAATCATTTTTCCCTGCAGTCTAAATGTCTGAGAAGAACAACACTGCAGCCTTGCCTGAATTTCTTTTGAATTCTTTTTGATATCATTCATTTTGACTGGCTGGATGCAGAGCGAAGGCCAGTGATTGTGCGTCGCTTCCATGGAAGGAAGCACATTTTTACTGAACAAAGTCATGAGCATGGTTTCTTGTTTTATTGTTGCAATTCCCTTGGCATCTCCATTTCCTTCAGCCAATAGGAGGTGTCTTTGATTCCACAGAAAACTTCTTCCTTTAATTTTTGAAGTTCCATTCTATGCTTCTCACTTTGTTTTTAAAGTTACAGTCAAACTCTGTGCCCCTAGACCTGGCAGTTCAGGCCAGCAAGTCCAACACTGATACGTTATTTTGAAGGACTTTTTAAAGCTAACAAAGAAGAGTTTACATATACAATTTATCCCTTTTTAACAAAATACCGTAAAGGTTCAAAACTCTCCATCTTATAATATCTTACAACAGGACAATATCATTACACTAAGTCTTATAATAAAACGTTGTAAGAAGTAGAGTTGAATGACATCGAGATTTGAGCCATTGCTGTAGAGTAATGCAGTATTTTTTTTATAAAGGAAAAATATATTGTAGGTTTATACATGAACATGTACTGGATTTTGAGAACTGCTAATCCTGCTAATGATAAACATCATTACAAGATATATTGAATTCTGAACATATGTTTGATTCTCAGGATATGAAATACCATTATAATACTGATTGAATACAAATGAGTCATCACTGTGGACAATTACAGTCCATGCACCGTATAATTTACTCTGTTCTTTGGTTCCTCTATTGTAGTCGTGCCTAGAACAACACAGTTAGTAATAATAATGGTCGTATGTAGCACGAAATCATTTTTCCCCTGTCACTGAGCACCACTTAAAAGAATTGTGGTTATCTTTAGATCTGTGCTCTATTTGGGTTAAGGACATGACCTTCACCTGATGTAATTTGTTGGCCTATGTGAAAACCCATTATATGAAGTTCAATTTTGTCAGGACTTGCTATTGTATGACGATTTTCACAATATATCATTTGTTAACACTGAAGAACTATGGGGAGGGAGGAAGCTGTGGGTGTGGAACGAGAAATGTATTGATTTATACATTCAAATATATTTAGCCAATATTAGTGGGTTGAGACAGAATTACTATATTCTACATGGAATGCTGCCATCATGTGGCTCAGGTGGAAAATGCAAATTATAACAATTTACCTGCACCATGGATGTTACTTAGAACTAGTTGAATCTGTTATTGCAAATAGTTTATCTGGTCACTTTGGCCCTTTCTTCTGTTCATGACCCAGTCCTGATTTCTAAGAATATATTTGGTTTTTGCAAGCATTCATAAAAGAGTTTATGCAAACTGATTTCCACAAAGTATTTCTTTCAACTATGTCTTTAACTACTTGTGATTCATAGAGTGTGTGTGGTTGGTCACCAAAGGCATATGGCATTGTTTTTGTTCCCTGATTGGATGATTAAATACTCTTAAACTCGGGAATAATGAATGAATTATAAAAATAGCAAATAATGAGGTCTGGAATGAAGGAGCACTACAAGAGATCCTGAGGCTCTGGTTGTAGAGACTTGGCTAAACCCACAGTGGAGAGCCTTGCCACAGTCAGGAGGTCTGAGACTTTATCTTTGATTTCAGTTATTTGATGTCTATTCCTTTACCTGTTGGGAAACAGGGAACTGGTAAGGAAGCAATCCAGGAGTCAGCAATATGGCACTTTCAGGCACAGAGCTTAGCTGCCTAACTTTGGGTCCTGGATCTGAACCCAGAGGAGAGGGCTTGGGTTTCCTTACCATCCCCAAGTGCAAAAGAAGTGATCCCGCTATGCCTGAGCCTGATCACAAAGGGGCACCTCTGGTGTGCACCCACCTGCACAGCACTCCTCTTCTCTTCATAAAAAAACTCACACATCACCTTTTCCGCTATTCAGCTGGCTCTCGTGCCAGTAGTTAACATTTCCTTTTTAAAATGTCTTGGTTAACCAAGACTTCGACGCGAAAGGAAGACTGCCAAACTCAGAGACTGATTTCTTCTTCTTCTCTGGACCTTCTCCACAACTGTTATATGAGATGAAATGTATGTGTCACAATATCACTGCTGTGTCAACTGTCAAGCTATTTCATACACTCGTCTTGGTACTAGTTTCAGTGCAGTCTTTGCTCTGAGCCTGTCATTCAGGCTGACATGGTTTATAATCAAAGGTAGGAAGGTGACTAATTCACAAAAGAAGAAGAAACACTATTCACTTGTTTTTGCCCCAGTGTGATTCACATCTATATTACCTATTTTCCCAATGGACTTGAAATAGCTTTTACATTTTAAGGATTTACGAGCTTCCTAAATCAACTGTTAACAGAGACAAACCCATTTAACTAAGTGCTTTAGAGTAATTACAAAAAATCTCTTGGAAAACTGGGTTGTGGATGACTGGGATAAATTATATATCTATATAACGTATATCATTGACCCCAGTCATTTATAGCACATATTTGATTTCACATTTGTAGCTTAAAATCACAATATAAATATTGATATGTTCTAGCTCAACCAGAAGATATAGGCTTGATGCAGGAATTATCAGGTGATATTCTATGGCCTGTGTAATGCAGGAGGTCATACTAGATACTTTAATGGTCCTTTTTGGCCTTAAATCCTATGAATATATTACCGATATGTTCAATAGTATCGATAACATTCTATACTTAGATCCTGTAGTGTCTTCAGCAGTGCAGCAAACATCACCCTAAGCTATGTCTTGTTGAGAATTCAAGATTTAGTGTCTTGCTTATACTGATTCTCCCACCCCCCACGAGTAGATGGAATATCTGCAGCCTGGTTAGTTCCTATGGGAACACGGTCTGCTGATCTAGTAACTAGATCACCACATTGGAGACAATCAATTTGTCTTTGAGGAAGGACAACACTGAAGACCGTGATCAAATAACTTTGAGTATTTACTTGAGGTCTTGCCTCCTTGATGGAAAACATTGGCAGGACTGCCCCCGAGAAAAATCCTGGCCAGAAACATAGCCAGTTTGTCTTAGGAGCAATGTATGTAGAGCTTCAGGTAGCTCCTCTGGAAATATATTCAGAGCAGCATGAAAAATTATTTTGTGGCTTTGTGGAAAAAAAACACACATGTTATCCTTGTCTCCGCTTATGGGTACAGTAGCTTTTCTTTCCCGAAGAAAACAGCCAGTAGAATTCTGATGGCCTCCAAAAGTGTGTCTCTATTGATCCAGAACAAAAGATCAGGTTTGGGCTTTGTGTACATTACAGATTTCATGAGTCCAGGCCAGGAGAAAACAGGACCCTTTCCGTTTGATTTGGGTGTGAAAGTATGTGGAGTAGCTGTAGGAGAGGGAAATACTTGTGTTCTCCCATATTGTTCTGAAGATCCCTGACTGGCTGTTGGCTTGGCCCAGTGTGTCACTTCAGCTGGTGGTCTGGCCAAGGATCAGTTGCACAGAACATCTTAATTAATGTTGTGCATCTGGTTCCCAAGCAGAACAGAGGTCAAAATAATGCTAGAGGCCACTCAATTATCCTACAAGGGAGGCAGGGGCATTCAGAATACTGGAAGTCATGCAAAGCTTTCTCTTATTTTTCTATATTTAGACCACGTAGGGCCTGGCCTGGGACCTACACAGCTGCTTCTTGAAGGGAGGTTAGGAAGCGTCACAGCTTTGTCATTTTCTCCCCATAATAATGATGCTGTTTCCCCACATTGCATGGGCTTTAATTGTCAAATGTGCCCCCAAAAGAAGCAAATTTTGTCCTCTTCCATTACAAAAAATGAAAATTCTCCCCATGAACAAATCTGCAGATTCTAATGAAAATTCACAAACACATCAGTATTTGCACCATCTTGAAAAGTGAAAATTGATTCCCTTGAGCATCAGCTTTAATTATATTGTGTCCCATGAGCTGCAAACTACATTGTACCCACACAAAGGCAAAGTACAACTGTATTGACAAGGTCCCTGCTAGTGGTGTTCTGGTATCCAAAGAAAACCGCCTTCTTTCAAACTCCTTCTAAAGTTCTGCTTTTCTCTATAGTTCAAGGAAGGTGGGAGAAAATTGATAGGTTTAGCCATAGTTTATAAAATCAAGTAATTCATAAACCAGTCGGAGAACACTTCAATCTCTCTGGTCACGCAATCACAGACATGAAGGTCGCTATCTTAAAACAAAAAAACTTCAAATCCAGACTCCAGCGAGAAACTGCTGAATTGGAATTCATTTGCAAATTGGATACTATTAATTTAGGCTTAAATAGAGACTGGGAGTGGCTAAGTCATTATGCAAGGTAGCCTGTTTCCTCTTGTTTTTTCCTACCCCCCCCCCCCAGATGTTCTGGTTTAACTTGGATTTAAACCTGGAGAATGGTCAGTTTAGATGAGCTATTACCAGCAGGAGAGTGAGTTTGTGTGTGTATGGGGGTGGGGGGGATGTGAGAAAACCTTGATCTATGCAGGAAATAGCCCGACTTGATTATGTAAAGAGTTGTCACTTTGGATGGGCTAGCACCAGCAGGAGAGTGAATTTGTGTGGGGGGGTGGAGGGTGAGAAAACCTGGATTTGTGCTGGAAATGGCCCACCTGTTGATCACTTTAGATAAGCTATTACCAGCAGGACAGTGGGGTGGGAGGAGGTATTGTTTCATGATTTCTGTGTGTATATAAAGTCTGCTGCAGTTTCCACGGTAAACATCTGATGAAGTGAGCTGTAGCTCACGAAAGCTCATGCTCAAATAAATTGGTTAGTCTCTAAGGTGCCACAAGTACTCCTTTTCTTTTTGCGAATACAGACTAACACGGCTGTTCCTCTGAAATCTACAAAATTGCCAAATCATGGAAAGATCTGGGGGAAGACTGTTTTCCATAAAAACCAAACACTGAAATGTTACTTCCATCCCAGCATGCAGTGACTTTACCACAAGAGCACACTTACCTAAATCTACCAGATAGAGTTGGCCAGGACATGGCTTGCTTATTCCATCATGATATACTGCATATACTGAAATGTTCATGTGAATTCCTGCTGTGATGTCGCCTGAAACGAATGTTTTATTTAAAATTTCTGTGCAAGTTAAAGTTAAAACTGCAGAAAATTCTAATGGGATATTTAAAGAAAAGGTGAAAAGAGGCCTGGTCTGAATATATGGGAGCAGGAAGGAGCTAGGAATGCTTGAATTCTATTCCCATTACTCAGACTGACTATCCAGTTTGGGTCAAGTCACTTAACTAGAACTGGTCAGATTTTTTTTGGGGGGTGGAAAACTTCATTTTTTTGCAGTGAAAAATCAACTACTGAATGATACACTCTGGGCTCTCCTTTTGGAGAGATGAAGCAGTGCATCATGGGTGTCTTTGGCACCTTGCATCATGGGAAGATGTTGTCTGGCTGGGAAGCCTAGCCCATAAAGGACAATGGAGATGTGAGGCAAGTGAACAACACTTCCCATGAGGCATTGCCTGTAGCAGCATGGCCAAACCTAAATATTTTGTGAGTTTGGCTGAAATATTTCCATTTTCGGGGCTTTTCAAATTAATGTATTTATATATTAATTTTTGACAAAAAATTCAAATTTTCTTGGAAACCTCTCTCTGCTTCCCCATCTCTAAGGGAAGAGCACTCATTAACATTGCAGTGAAGATTAATTAGTTAATATCTGTAAAGTGCTTTGAAGATGAAAAGTCTTATGGATATTTGACACCACAGTGACTGGTGGTTTTAAAAAATGCCTAGAAAGAGAAGCATATTATTATTAACTTCGGAAGGAAATTACAGTTTAATACAGACTGAATATAGATAGCTAACTTATGTATGACAGATCTGTTCTGATACATAAAATTGGAGACGATTGTGTTGTGAGAGAATTTGGGTATCAAATTTTTCACCAGTAATAAAAACTATAGATCCAACCTTCCTGAATCTGCATTGCTGCAGATTTAGCAAAATTAATGCATTTGTGCATATGTGTCATAGCAAATTTTATAATCTCTGTGGTGACATCGGTTTAACAGATGGAAGAATTAATTAATTGTGTGTCAATTACAGAGGCTCTGTTTTCCCCACTGTAAAGACCCTATTCGTTAACAGTTTATGGAAGGGATTTTAGTTTCATATTCATTTACATGTAATGTAATATGGCATCCAATGAGAAGATGACTACAAAGGATGTGTTCATTTTTTTAATTTATACAGCTGTATTTATTATGATGAAAGCAGCTACCAGTTTTCACTTGAATTTGGTTTCTCACATTTTCCTCATAATATATCAGTACAGAATCTTTTTTCCAACTAATACAGTTAACTGGAGTCTCATACTAGGCTATATTGCTATACTGCTCAGGATACAGATCCCATTATATGCAATTCACCAAGACTATGCTGACTGATTTTAGGGGAGTACATATGTCAATGATCACATGGAAATGTGGGGACCAGGAACACTTTGCTGGCAGGATCTGCATTCAACACAATGGAGAGACAAGGTGGGTGAGGTAATATCTTTTTTATTGGACCAACAGAAGTTGATGATGGTAAAAGAGACATGCTTTTGAGCTACATAGGGCTCTTCTTCTGAAGCTCGTCTCTTTCACCAATAGAAGTTGGTCCAATAAAAGACATTACTTCACCTACCTTGTCTCTCTCTCTCTTTCTCTTTCTCTCTCTCTCTCTCTCTCTCTCATATCCTGGGATCAAGATGGCTACAACAACACTGCATTCAGCAAAATGGGACACATACCAAAATGGGACACAATCCTTATTTTGCCGGATGCTCGACCTCAGTGGGAATTTTGCCTGAGAAACGCCTGCAGGTTTTGTCCCCTACAATTGTTCAGTAACAATAACCGCAGAAGACAGTTGTTGCCTCACATATTACCACCTCCTCTCCTGTCCTTTCACTTTTTATAGACACATTTCCATATATACCACTCTTCGTTGCCCACGTAGGACTTCATTCCTTCCCACAATCTAGCCAAGTTTCATGTCTTACTGCTTCTTTGTCTTCTCCCTCTTTGTGACTTGGTCCATCCTTTCACAGAGCATCCTACATTTAGAACAGCCTCCCAATTAATTTCCCCAACCTCTTTCAGACCACGTAACTCTTCCTCCTGCCTATCTGCTACAAACATATACCTGCTCTCCTTTATCATATTTGTACTGTTAAAAGTATCAGAGAGCTGGGGCTCAATTTAAATTTACACTTCCTTTGTTTTCTTTTGTTGTATTTTGAGCTACAAGGCCTTGTGTACATCTATAGCACTACAGAGAAAGTAGATAGCAAAAAGATTGTTACCATATCTTACCCGCTATATATGTAAATGTATCCTGGCTGGGGACTTTCTTCCATAAAAAATCCTGTTGCTGATTATGCTGAGCTGCAGAAATCCATTCAACTATGAACCACAGAACTGATCTTCCAATGTATTTAGGCAGTTCCCATTTGACAGAGATTCCTCTGTTGTCATCATGGCTAATCTGCATGTTGATGGGGGATAGGAAATCTGCAAACGAGGTAGGAGGAGTGATATGACTAAGGTGGGCCGGATCCTTCCAGTCATAGGAAGGCCCATTAAATGGCTCATTCTGCACAGGGAAACTGCCTATGCTCTGAAATAGTTTAAGAACTGATCTTGAAATGAGAGAGAGATTTTACACATACATGGAGCATTTTATATATTAAAGGCCCATTGTCGAGTTTATCGCACCTTCTCTCTCTGAAAATCTGTATCTATTGCTTTTTACAAGAAATACCTCTGATTCTTCTAACAGAGAGACTCAAGAACAATCTGAATTTTCCACTTTATTTACCTAATGCACTTTTTATTTAGTTATTTTCACTACATAACCCCTTTCACTTGCAGTGTCTGTGGGACTTTCCCTCATTGCTGAGTGCAAGAAACATTTTAGAAAACAGGAAAATGTGGTTGTGGAAAACCACAGTCATTGGCCTGGGGAATCTGAGGCAGATGTAGACCCTGAAACTACTTCTAATTCCCTGTTATTTTGTTTGTTTTAAATGATGAGATGTAAAGGTGAAACTTGCCTTTATGGGAAATGAAAGGGGTTATTTTCACTAAGGTCCTGTGTATTTAAGGAAAATGCCCATGTTCTAAGACTGCTTTCAAGACCTAATTAAGCAGCACAGTTGTGTCAGCTGGAGCCAGCCAATACAGACAGCCCAAAACTTATTTTTAAACCTCTTGTTGAACATTGTCAGAGGGGAACATTTGAAATATATGGCTGCTTTTTGTCTCCAGGTCACACAGTCTGGCGTCTTCTGGAGAGCACTAAGTTCATTTACAAAAAGGAGTGGGTGGTAGCAGAATTTCCAGAGGGTTTTCTCCAATTTAAAGCAATAAACAGAAGATTCCTTCTCCCCCCCCGCCCCCCCGTTCTGACAAAATCAGATTTCAGTTAAAGCCAATGATGAAGTGTGCATAATCTTACCGTTAAAATTACTGTGCTCTTGGGTCACTGTTATACTGGCTGGCATGGAACTTCCCTTTGAATTATATGCAGTCACATGGATGGTACGCATTGGTGGGGAAACCAGAACTTTGCATTTGGTGTCTGATGTGTTACATAAGGTAATCAATTCTCCCTGGCTTTCATGGAACACAGTGTAACCCAGAATTCTTCCTCTGGCATCTTTTGGAGCAAGAGGCTGAAAACAATGGAAAATAAATGCCCTTATAGAACAGTGTGTTATTTGCTGCCACTGGGGATTACATTCCTCAGTTCACCATCCCCACACATAGTGCTCCGCATGAAATTGTAACTATGTGCCAAAAGTATTGTTAATTGACAAAGGATCTCAAAGGACTGGAGTGAGATTCATCAACATAGCATGCAGAATACTCCGGAACAATTTCCTCTAAAGGAATAGACACAAACAAATTTTGCCTTAAGTTTCTACAGGCATGTCATTGTCTTTGTTCTCTTTCTTCCCTTGAACAAACTGGCTGGTTACTGCTTATACAAGGAAACCATCACTTTTCCTTGTATCTTTGAACTCCCATATAACCAGGATGTGGAACACTCACCGATGAGCTCTAATTTTGCTCGGCAGTAGAGCCACAAAACTAAAATCGCTTCCTTCCCCTTCTCCCTGAGCCCACAACTCTGCAGGGGAGACACCCTCACCCCCCCCCATCCCCCTTATGTGGTATCAGGATCCAGGGGTATATCTCCTCCCTCCACCAGGTGGGCTTGGGAGAAAGATGCAAAGACCAGCCAGCCAGAGGGGCAGAAACAGCCAAAGCAGGGACCTTTGTCCTTTTTGGAAAACTTTCTACAGTTTTGACAGGACTTCTCTGCTCTTTCGTGACTGGCTGCTTACTCCAGCCATCCCCCTCTCCCTCCTTCATAGGGTATGTCTACACTGCAATTAGACATCCACAGCTCAGCTGGCCCATGCCGGCTGGCTTGGGCTTGGGCTGCAGGGATGTTTCATTGCAGTGTCGGCTTCTGGGCTCAGGGTGCGGCCTGGGCTCTAGGACCCTGTGGGTCTACACTGCAATGAAACAGCCCCGCAGCCCGAGCTAGCTGGCAGTGTAGACGTACCAATGGTCTCTCTTCATCCTAGCTTCACTCCTCTTACCTTCTTCTCCCTCTCCCTGTCCACCAGTGTCCCCTCTCCCTTCTACTTAGCTGATATCCTAACCCTCCTTCCCCAGAAAAGTAGTGGCACTAACATGCTGTTTGCTGCCATCACACTGTTCCTGCTGCTGACGTATTCTGCCCCTACCCCACCCTGTGTCTCTTTTGTCTACTTAGATTGTAAGGTCTTCAGGACAGGGGCTGTTTTTTTTTGTTCTGCGTCCATACAGCACCTAGGGAAACAGGGTCCTGGCCCACGACTGGGGCTCCTAGACGCTACAGTAATACAGTAATAATAAATGGTGTTTTAGAATCCCATAGACGTATTGGAGCATGAGCTTTCATGGGTGAATACCCAGAAGTGGGTATTCACCCACGGAAGCTTATGCTCCAATACGTCTGTTAGTCTATAAGGTGCCACAGGACTCTCTGCCGCTTTTACAGATCCAGACTAACACGGCTACCCCTCTGGTGCTTAGAATCCCATGTGGCTTGAAAAAGAAAATGGCATTACCTTTATCAAGACTGTGACTTCTCGGCTACCGTTCATGTATACTGGACCCATAACCCTCCACACATCCAGGATTTTAGAAGGTGCTGCATTCAAAGGAAGTACAGTAACTGAATCAGTGATTTCTGGTATTAACATTTAAATGAACAAGGTAATGGCCATGATTTGGTATGTGACTTAGTTCAGTTTTAAAATCAAATGAAATGGCATCAGCAAGTATTTTCAAAGCACCCCCTTGGGGGCATTCTGAGACACAGGCTCTGGCAGATATGTTTCTATAATCTTTCTAATAATAATTAAGAACTGAGCTGCCTTTAGTTTAGCTCCTTAAGACAGCAGGGAAGGAGTTGATGATGCCTGGTCTCAGGGACCTGCTGGTACACAGCATGTCTCTCACTGCCTTTCGGGCACCGTGTGAGCCCTATTTGTAACTGTGACCCGCTGGGGTCCACTCCCTTGTTTGTGTGGCTTTTTGTACCGTCTACCTGACTCCCCCACCCTGTCTGTATGAGTTGGAAATTGTCCTCTTCTATTGGTAGATAGTTCCCATGAGAATCCCAGGGTTTTCCTCTGAACTATATTTAGTGCCTTACCCAAATATCAGTGAATCTGATTTGGCTGACTTTTCAATTGAAGTTTTGTGGTTTGGTTTCATTGTTTGGTACTTATAGATGCTTTGTGATGGGCCCCCTACCAATGGATGATTCATGGAGTTTAAGGCCAGAAGGGACCATTAGATCTGCATCACAAGCCATATTTCACCCATTTACCATTGCATTAAGATAACTTGCCCAATAACTTGTGTTTGGCTAACTCCTATCTTTCAGAAAGGCATCCAGTCTTGATCTGAAGACACCAATAGATGAGGAATCCCCTTGGTAGTTTTTTCTAGTGATTAATCACCGTCATTGTTAAAAATCTGTGCCTAATTTCTAATTTGAAGTTGTCTGACTTCAATTTCCCACCATTGGTTCTTGTTTTGCCTTTCTCCCCTAAATTAAAGTATTTTCTCCTTGTTAAAGTATGTTGTCATCACAAAGTACTTGTACACTGTAATCAAGTCACTTCTCACTCTTTTTGGTAAGCTAAACAGTTTGAGATTTCCAGACCTTGCATCATTTCTGTGGCTCTCTTCTATATCCTCTCCAATTTTTCAACATCCTGGTTAAAATGTGGACACCAGAACTGTACACAATATTCCAGTACCAGACTCACCAATGCCATATACAGAGGTAAAATTGCCTCCTTACGCTTACTCATACTTAGAGATCCAAGGATCACATTAGCCCTTTTCGCCATGTTATCACACTGGGAGCTCATGTTCAGTTGTTTTGTCCCCTAAATCCTTCTCAGAGTCACTGCTTTCTAGGATACAGCCCCCCCATTCGGTAAGTGCGGCCTACATTCCTCGTTCCTAGATGTGTATTGTAACTTTGCATTTGACTACCTTAAAATGCATTTTCTTTGAATGGGCCTGTGATGGGGTGTTTACCCCACACAGGACTGGAAGGTGTTCAGATGGCCAGGAAGGCCAATTAACTCCACAGACTACACCTGTAGGAGGAGCCAGAGAGCAGGGGATTGACTGGGAACAGACGCAGGGCAGGAATAGGTGGGACTTCCATAAAGCCAAGGTGCATACAACAGAAGGGGGAACCGGAGGGAAGGAGTCTCCAGTCACTCCCTGGGAGAAGGAAGGTGTATCTGTGGCTAGAGACAAGTAGCTTAGTTACTCCCTGGGAAGAGGGCTGTGGCGTGGCAAGCCCAGAGCAGGGGGAGAGCCAGAGAGGGAGGCAAGGCTCAGGGGAAAGAGCAGTGAGGTATGGGGTAGGTCAAACCTTGGCTGCTGATGAGAAGGCCCCTGAGCCAGGACGTGGAGTAGAGGGCGGACCTGGGTCCCCCTACCAGCCACTGACAAAGTGGCACCAGTGGGGCAGTGAGGAGGAAGAGAGCCTGAGCCAATTTGCCAAGAGGGACTTTGATACTCTGGAAGGTGGGAACGTGTATGGTGACCCAGCCAGAGGGCCGAGTCACAAAGAGGAGGCTAATATCAGAAGGGTAGCCGTGTTAGTCTGTACCCACAAAAACAACGAGGAGTCGGGTGGCACCTTAAAGACTAACAGATTTATTTGGGCATAAGCTTTCGTGGGTAAAAAACCACTTCTTCAGATGCATGGAGTGAAAATTACAGATACAGGCATAGATATACTGGCACATGAAGAAGCGGGAGTTACCTTACAAGTGGAGAACCAGTGATAAGAAGGCCAATTCAGTCAGGCTGGATGTGGTTTGCTCCCAATAACTGATGTGGAGGTGTCAATACCAAGAGAGGGAAAATTGCTTTTGTAGTGATCCAGCCACTCCCAGTCCCTATTCAAGCCCAAATTAATGGTGTAAAGTTTGCAAATGAATTGTAGCTCTGCAGTTCCTCTTTGAAGTCTGTTTTTGAAGTTTTTGTTGTTGAAGGATGGCTACTTTTAAATCTGTTATTGAATGTCCAGGGAGATTGAAGTGTTCTCCCACTGGCTTTTGTATGTTACCATTCCTGATGTCTGATTTGTATACATTTATTCTTTTACGTAGAGACTGTCTGGTTTGGTCAATGTTCATAGCAGGGGGCTATTGCTGGCACATGATGGCATATATCACATTAGTAGATGTGCAGGTGAATGAGCCCTTGATGGTGTGGTTGGGTCCTATGATGGTGTCACTCAAGTAGATATGGGGACAGAGTAGGCAATGGAGTTTGTTGCAGGGATTGGTTCCTGGGTTAGTGTTTCTGTGGTGTGGTGTGTAGTTGCTGGTGAGTATTTGCTTCAGGTTGGGGGGCTGTCTGTAAACAAGGACTGGCCTGCCTCCCCAGGTCTGTGAGAGTGAGGGATCATTTTCCAGGATAGGTTGTAGATTGTTGATGATGTGCTGGAGAGGTTTTAGCTGGGGGCTGCACATGATGACCAGTGGTCTTCTGTTATTTTCCTTTTGGGCCTGTCCTGTAGTAGGTGATTTCTGGGTACCCGTCTCGCTCTGTCAATTGGTTTCCTCACTTCCCCAGGTGGGTATTGTAGTTCTAAGAATGCTTAATAAAGATCTTGTAGGTGTTTGTCTCTGACTGAGGGATTGGAGCAAATCTGGCTGTCTGGCTATTTGGACTCTCTCCTCAGACCCTACGCTACCAGCACTCCTAGCTATCTTCGTTGACTTCCTAAGGAAACTACAATGCCTTGGTGATCTTCCTGAAAACACCATCCTGGCCACCATGGATGTAGAAGCTCTTTACACCAATATTCCACACAAGGATGGACTACAAGCCATCAGGAATAGTATCCCTGATGAGGCCACAGCACACCTGGTGGCTGAGCTTTGTAACTTTCTCCTTACCCACAACCATTTCAGATTTGGGGACAACTTATACCTTCAAGTCAGTGGCACTGCTATGGGTACCCGCATGGCCCCATAGCATGCCAACATTTTTATGGCTGACTTAGAACAATGCTTCCTCAGCTCTCGTCCCCTAGTGCCCCTCCTCTACTTGCACTACATTGATGACATTTTCATCATATGGACCCACAGAAAGGAGAATTCCAGCTGGCCACCCCACCATCAACCTCAGCTTGGACCAGCCAACACAAGAGATCTACTTCCTGGACACTACAGTGCAAATAAGTGATGGTCACATAAACACCACCCCATTCCTGAAACCTACTGACCACTATTCTTATCTACATGCCTCCAGCTTCCATCCAGGACACATCACACGATCCATTGTCTATAGCCAAGCCCTAAGATACAACTGCATTTGCTCCAAGAATGTCACAGAATACCTGATGTGGCCAAAGTGGAGGTGGGTGGAGCTCAGGAGAAAGCAGAGGCTGCCGGAACATTAGAACCTTCTCTCTCAAAGGGGAGATGGGATATTTTGTGAGGCATCTGGTGGTTGTGAGAAAGCCATTTCCCATTGAGTAGGGTCCCTATGTGAAGGGGAGTTGAAGGAAATTAATACAAAGCCCACCCCCTGCAGAGGAATGTATGTAAATGCAAATGTAACCAACAACCCTGTGACTGTGTTATTAAAACAGAATCTCAAATGCCCCGATCAACAGGGGTAGAGGCAGAGCAGGCATCACACCAGTGTGTGGGGCTGGAATCAGGACGGTTCCAGGAAGAGTTGAGACGTCTGCTCCTATAACAGTTGGTGATACATCACCTCTAGATGGAAGCAGAAATCAACCAGCAAGCTTTCTGGCTACTGACAATGCCAGACCCAGAATTAGCCAGCAGAGGGCACCAGCAAAACACTGCTGCGAGACCACTTCTTTCCTAGATGTGCTGTTAACTCCATTTGCCCATCAATTTGTGGGGCGTTTGCTTATGCTAACATGTGGAAAGTTACTGGGGTGTGTTTGCAGGATAGGGGGGGTTAATTTATAATTCTGTTCAGAATCAAGTGGCACTCTGCACGACAGCAGAGCACATAGAATGACTGAATAATCCAACTCGGCATAAGAATAGGATCAAATTAATTATGCGGTTGATATACCAGGAAATAGCCTCTGTTGTACTTTCAAAGATGAGGCACGCTGCAAACATAGTGCCTTTATGACCAGTGTGTGAGTTCTACCATGGTTCATCTATCCTCCCTGGATGGAAGTACTCATGGTATCTTTGAAAAACTATATCCAGTAATGAGATGCTAATCAGGGGCCTGATCCAAAGCCTAATTAAGTAAATGGAAAGGTTCCCTTTGACGGCAGTGGCTTTGGCTCAAGCTTTGGATGGTGCTGCTGTATCATTCCTGCATGTGCCATGGGTGGGAGGCAGTGATCTAAGGAAAGGTGTCACAGTGCATTGGCTAGGGCTGATGCCAGCTGCATTAGAGCAGAGGCAGAATGGGTACAGCAATTATTTTACTAGCTCAGTTTAAAACACAGGACAGTAACTAGCACTGATACTCTGTGCACATATCAATGCCTTTCATGTGAAGATCTTTATATACGTTAAGGCTCATAATGACCCTATGAGGTAGATGAGTATTGTACCCATCTAGCAGGTATGTACACTGAGGCGCAGAGAGGTTTAAATGATTGCCTAAGTCATTGTCAAAGCCAGGAACACAATTGTGATATCCTGACTCCAAATCTCCTACTTTAACTATTAGAGATGCTGTCTCCTTTGACTGATGTTGTTTGTAGTGTTGTCGAAGCCATGTTGGCCCCAGGATATTAGAGACAAAGTGGATGAGGTAAAATCTTGTGTTGGAGAAAGAGGCAAGTTTTTGAGTTACAAATGACCTGAAGAAGAGCGCTGTGTAGCTCAAAAGCTTGTCTCTTTCACCAACAGAAGTTGGCCCAATACAAGATATTACCTCGCCCACCTTGTGTCTCCATTGACTGAGTCATTTAAAAAATGGCACTAACTATTCTAATGACATCTATCCTGATTGGTTAAATGTCAGAAAAGGTTAAAGCCCAAAGATTACAAAAAGTCAATCTCTTCTTTGCAGATACACTTGTATTTGTATTTTTGCGCGTGTGTTTGAATCCCAGGTGCAAACCTGGGTACTTGCATCTCTAGCTACTTAACTACAGCTGTCAAAAGGGAGGTTGCACCTCAGCCCTTCTTAAAAAATGTACCCTTTATGCTTTCAAGTGGGAAATGATGTGTCACATGCCATCATAAATATCTTTACAGTGGGCCTTTATTCCCCTGTAGCTTGCCAACCAGGAGGAATGGGAAGTGTTTGTAGCAAGAGAGATTGTCACACAGGGCATGGCTTAAGTGACTATTTTTTTACATTTAGTCTGATTAGAAAATCAAATGCTACATTCCTGTTTTACATGGTAAGGGACAAACCCTGGTTTCTTTGTTGGATTAAGGTGGAAGAAGATGTAAGGAGCATTCTTTATCACCACCTTAGCACAGAGACAGGATTTCTCATCAGTGATTAAGAGCATTAAGAGGTGGGCCCAGCTAACATTCCCATTCCTTACACCCTGGCCCAAAGGGACTCTGATGAGCCAGCAGAGGTCTGGAATGGCTAGACTTCCAGCTGGCATGCGCTGACCAGTGAATCTGAACATAAGAATGGTCATACTGGGTCAGACCAAAGGTCCATCTAACCCAGTATCCTGTCTTCCAACAGTGGCCAATGCCAGGTGCCTCAGAGGGAATGAACAGAGCAGGTAATCATCAAGTGATCCACCCCCATATCACCCATTCCTAGCTTCTGGCAAATAGAGGCTGGGAACACCATCCCTGCCCATCCTGGCTAATAGCCATTGATGGACCTGTCCTCCATGAATTTATCTAGTTCTTTTTTGAACCCTGCTGCTCCAGTAAGGTACACCTGACAGTCCACTGATTCCTCCATGTTCCAATAGCAGGGTAACTGGAAGCCTGCACCATTCCACTCCCTTTGACAATTGCCCCAAACAAGGGGGTGATCTCATTCAAAGTTTTTAAAAAATGAGAAAAAGTGATGCATGACAGCAAGAGATGGAGAAATCCTCTTGTAAGCCTGGGTGTGAACTCACCTGCTTCTGGGGTTGTGTAAATAAAGGGCTCACTCCATCCACTCCAATAGCTTTTGGCAAGAATTAATCGGCATCTCACTTGAAACTCATACTCTGTGTTCGACTCCAGGCTGTAGTCTGTGTGTGGCCCTCTTGTCACATTTATGTCCCATTCTTTCATCTAAAATTGACAAACAATATAACTTTCCAAGCTGTACTAACTAGCCTCATGAAATTAGACATTCTTTCAGAAACATGTCCTGGCACCTATTAATGATGTTATAACAATCCCCGCCCAAGTGGCCTAGCCCTGAGGGAGTAGGCCCCAGCCTCCCTAGAGTGCCTAGGAGTGCAGGATCAATGTGGGCACTGCACCGTGCCTTAGCCTAGAGCTGTGTTCATGGCCAGCTCCTCATACCAATGTGGAGGGGGGCGTGGCCATGGCCCTCTGTCCTCCTTATCTGTTCTGGCTGGGTTTGCACCTCTGGGGGTGTCAGGAAGAAGCAGTGCTCCCCCAAATGGAGGGATTGGGATTGTGCCCCGTCCCTCTGGCAGGGTGTGAGGGGTGGATAAAATTCTCCACATACACCCTGGCCCTTTTGCACGGTCAATCAGAGGCGGGGCACAATAGAGACCTAACAAGCTGATGTTAAACTGACCTACAAAAGCAGTCTCATCTCTTAGGGATCTTCTACATGGGACATTATACCAGTATGATGGTGTGAATTTAATCTGCAATAGTTATTCTGGTATAATTCCCCTGGCGGACACTCTTATTCTGGTATGAGTGGCTTTTCTAGCTCAGTTGGTCATTTTGGAAGTGATTTAAATTAAACTGTAACACTGGGAAATATCTTGAATATTGCGTTAATTTTCCTTTGCTTAGTATAGGGTTTATCTAAAGAATTCTGCAAGTACAGAGGTAAATTAATTTGAGTTACAAAGCAATGCAAATCTGCACGTGGCAGTGAGTGGGTGTTACTGAATAGTTCAGTTGGAGCCTCTCCCTTCCAAATTACCTGTTTGAATCCAGCCTAAATTACAAATGCCCTAATGTAGTTAGTAATCTCATGGCTGTTTGAGAGTGTATGTGAAGCGACGAGGTGGTCTCAGTCCAGGTGTGAGTGGACAAGTCCACACACAAAACCAACATCACTAATTGACTCCTGGTAGGAGTTGCAGTGGAAAATCTTAGAGTACCCCTCAGAAGAGGTGTCTCTAGGTTAGGTTTGATGCACACAAACAGGATAGTGCAAAGAAGCTTTCACCATCCTGCCACTGCTGTACCTGTCTGAATAAACAGAAGACTTCAGTCTCCAGGATTAGTAGCTTTGCACCTTTTACAAGTACTTAGTTAATTTTAAAATGTTTTAAAAACAACCCCTCCAAATACCCTTGTTGTTATGATGCTATTATGTCCGTAAGGAGGATATGCAATCGCTTGCAAATCCTTGTTTCATAGACGTTCTCCTCTCCATATTTGAATACAGCAAATGACTGCATGGAAAAACGCCAGAGAATTGGTATCAATAATCTAGCCCAGCAATCTTTCACGCAGGGCCCAATCCTGCTCCCACTGAACGTAGTGGGAGTTTTGCCATTGATGTCAATGGGAACAGCAGCAGGCCCATGTTATGAAGTTGAAAAAGGGTTGCCTCACATGCCAAGTTTGGTCTGCCAGTGCTTTGTATCTCTCTTCACAATATACGTTCTCCATGGATGTTTGCTTTTTCCAGTGGAGCATGGTTTTCGGTGCTGAGCTGTCTGTAGTTTCAACATTTGTGACAACAGGTGTAGCTGGTATCACTAGAAGAGAGACAAAAGAATGGTGAATCTATTCTGAGCCCATGAAGAAAACGGTGCCAGTCTATCACTGTTAGGCTCTGCTATAATGATTTTTTAATACTTTACTACAGAGGAGATCTGTTTTCTCCTGGGAGAAATAGATCTTGATTTTTCAGTTTAACCTGCTAAAAAGCCCAGTCAGAGAAAAATCTCTGGACAATTTCACTGTCAGTTAAAGATAACTTTCCATTAATCAGTTTTATACTTTCATTAATGTACACTGGGAATTTAAAGTTGGAACTAATAGACAGGCAGTATGAGACTTGCTGTAATTGAAACGTACTACCAAATCACAGGCATTGTGAGCCTCAATGTCAAAGTACTTTACTCAAATCCAGCACATCGCAAAAAACTAAGGAGAGAGCATACTGACCAGTGAAAGAATATTGATGGAAAATACTACAGACCAACTTGAGAAGAACAAATAAGAGAGGGCCATAAGACAGTGTATCAAAATGTACATCAGCAGCTGGTTCCCTAATGTTAAACAGCACTCTATCAATTTATCACCGATGCGCTCAGAAATCTTCAGTACTGCACATCCATCTAGATGTAGATTTTATCACTTTGTTTAGGGTTTATTTTAGTTCATACATATTACAACCTGCTTTCAAAGCCATTACTGAGATACCACATGTTACCTAAATCCTCAAGGTTAACTTGCAGATGATCCGAATGTGCTGTGCCTAGGTCGTTTTTGGCTTGGACCCAAATAGAATACAGTTTGCCTCCTTGTAATTTGCTCAATGAAACGTTGAGCGCTGCATTTGAAGGAAATGCTTTCTCCTCCTCTGTCTGTAAACTAAAAAAGCAAAAAGCACCGGGGTAAATTCCGGGCCCCATTCAAGTCAATGGGAATTTTGTCATTGACTTCAATGAAGCAAGGATAGAGACAGCACGAAAGCCCGTTTAAACCAATATAATTTAAAAACAAAAATCCGCGAGAATGGGGATGGTAGGGCCACCACATTATTACAACGGTTTTGTCAGTCTTATCTCCTGCTGCAAATGCAGCCCAGCAGCTCATTTAAGATCAGTGGTATGATAATAAATTGATCCTCCTGCACTGTGGCAGTCTCCTACATTCCCGAACAATCCCCAGTTGGTCACCCAGACCAAATAGGACGACTGTCAGGCTAGTGATGCCACCTTTTTCCTTAGCAATATGTACCATTGCCAAATTGATACTGTTGTAGTAGCCTCTTTTCTTACTACTTCATTGCATCATAACCCCATTATTTCTCATTTTGCCATCCATGTCCAGAATTCTAAACAAAAGGAAAGACAGTGATTTCTCATTCACTGGATACTTTTTTGTGAATCTTTGTACTGACAGTGTTGTTTTTTCTGAATAAAATAGAACCTGGTGTATTTAGTTTTCATGGATCTACTTAGAAAGGTCCAAATTGACAGGTGAGAGCTAAGCAATGAGGAAGAATTCTGCAGTAAACACTACAGTATTTTAGCATTTATTTAAATTGTTGCTTTACTGTCTCAAGACATTGTGGTAGATTATAGCATCTCAAGACCTCTTACAGGGCTGGTTAAACAACTTGATACGACCTCTGGACAGTGGGTCCTTACTGACAAATAGAAACATATACATGCCATACATTTGAGGGTGGGAGCTTTACTCTATATTTCCTTCCTTTTCCACCCCACCCTTCTGTTTCTGACTTGCCTATTTCTCACTTTCCAATCCACAGTCTTTTGATTAATCTGCGGGAAGTCAGTTTTCTCTCTGCTGTTAAGTTTCATGAGTATGTGTACGCTATCGAAAGAGGATGGAACTCTAGAGGGCTGGGTTCAATTCCTGGCTCTGCCACAAACTTCCTGTGTGACCTAAGGCAAGTTACTTAAACTCTCTGTGTCTCATCTGTAAAATGGGGATATTATTTTCCTTTTCATCCTTTATCTGTCTTGTCTGTTTAGATTGTAAGGTCTTTGGGGCAGGAAACTATCTCTTGCTATGTGCATGTCTACACTATAATTGGAGGTGTGATTAAAGCTAGAATGAGTATGCCTACCCAAGCTGTAATCTAGCTAGCACAGCTAAAAATAGCAGTGAAGACACAGTGGCATGGACCCCAGAGCCGGCTGTACAAGCCTGCCTGGAACTCTGGGTACGTACCAGTAATGCTAGCCTGCAACGCTGACTGTGTCACCGTGTCTTCACGGCTCTTATTACCTTTGCTAGCTAGAGTAAAGATACAGTGCAGATGTCTGCACCAGAGCTGCAATTGCCCCTCCGATTTCAGTGTAGCTATACTGTGTTTGTACAATCCCTAGCACAATGGGGCCCTGATCTTGTTGGGAAGGCTAAGTGTTACAGATAATTAATGCTGTCTAGCACCTCCCAACAGAGCACGGGGCCCTTTTCTCCCACTGCCACTATTCCAGTTTTACAGAGGGGTAAGTCCATGGAGTTCTACGAGCATGAGATACGTCGGCATACAAGTAACATAACACAGTGATGGCTCAGGCCCATTGAGTAGAAAGCTGGCTTTTGTTTTACATTCTCGGTTTAGGTTTGACTAGAAACACATGCTCAACTATGAGCCAAATAGCACTGATTAGACAAGTAATTACAACACTGAGCAGAAACCTAGGTCTTAAAAGATTTAAATCCTAAACACCACCTCATTTGCGTTAAGTGAGAGCTAGCCATATACACAAGGCAGTTCACCTGAAGAGATCTGTAAGGTGGTGTTCTAGAAAGTGTAACTAGGACACTCTGTCTTTCCAGTCATCAAAACTAGAACATTTATATAATCGTGCTTGGTTTGTGGCTGCTGTTACGCTGACCACATACGATTAGACCGCATAGTCATACTGGTACTTCAGGTTACAAGAGCTCCCCAGTCTTAACCATTGCCCCCAATTAACCTAGTTTGTTCTGCTGTTTTCTTTCCATACCATTAGCACCTTTACCACAAAGCACACTAGCAAGTGAGAGAATCAGTGAGAGCCTCTTGCTTTTATTCCTTTGAAACACTCAGAGCTACATTCTAAGCCCTGCAGAGAGCCCTCTACTTCAATTGTTCTTGGTTTTCAACTAAACATGGCAAGAAGCTGTCCAGGCAGGACTTACCTCTTCAGGAAGAGAATGTAATTAGTACTTAGGTAGGTGTACTTCCCTGCATCCCAAGCACAAGTGAGGTGGTCTGAATGTTCATAAATGACACAAGTTAAATTGGTCGGACTGTCCGGTGGATCTACAAAGATAGATTATATGCAAATGTACGTCAGTTAGGTAGTTAATGGGCAGCTCATCCAATGACTGGACATTTAGACATTTGAAACTGTAATGTCCAATAGAACCTAAACATAGGGCTCTATATCTTTGAACAGAAGTTATGAAGACGTGCTGCATTTTACCCATAATTGTTTGATACCAGAATCAGATGATTGTGTTATTCTGTGCCTTTCCATAGTGGGTTTTAGCTGAAATTTTAAAGTAAACTCCACTAGTATTAATGAAATTAATCTTCCACTGGGCTGGGATGCTGGAACTCATTGTCCTAAGGATGGAGCTTGCAGGCTGCAGGCAGGGCATTCCTGGCACCTATGGGATTCACTCTGCCAGAAACACACTTAAAATGTGAATCTGGGCCTTAGCTGACAGTCCAGATAGTCTTCACTCAGTCTTAAAGCTACAGGCACCAGGGAAACGTAATGTGTTTTCTCCTCTAATTTAGAATGTTAATGAGCCAATTTAAGCCATGTCAGTGTGTGGCCAGATACCACGTGGATGGGCATCTTGGCATTTATTTGTTAGAAAGATTTATCACCTCCGTGGGGTAGATCAGTATTATTTTACAGATAGGTAGAGTGAGAAAGGTAGGCATGAAGGGGCGGGGGACAGCCTGTCAAAAGCTCAGAGGCGGTGGCCAAGGATCTGAAAGCAAAGACTGCTCAAACTCTATTAATCCCAGGCCAGATGTGTGACTTCCAGCACACTCAAGCAGACACTGGTGGTAAATCCAGCTGTACTGCTATCTTACGGCAGCTCTCCTGCCAGCAGAAGCGTTCATGTGGCTGCTGCAATGAGGGGCTCTGGAGTGTGGGGAGGGATTTAATGTTACTCAAAACAGTATTAAACATTTTGCAGCCACGTCTGCATAAAATGCATGGATTTGGAAAGGAAACCATCTCATTCCCAACTCCTTCCACACTCTGGCTGCCCCATCTTCCTCCTCTCAACTCCACATGTCACGGTACCCATACTAGTGATTGTGTAGAAGGAAATAAACTATGGCACATCAGTTTGCCTCTCTGTGCCTCAGTTTTCCTGTATGTAAAATGGGGATAATGGTAGTGACCTCCTAGTAAAGCGCGTTGAAATCTACCACTGAAAAGTGCTGTATAAGAGTTAGGTGGTGGTATAGCCTGGAATGATGCACAAAGTCACTTCTGTTACTTGACTCAGGGAGTTCAATAGCTCCTTGCCATTTGGGCAAGCACATGACAGGACAAGGATAGTTTCAGTGTCACGTCCAGATACCTGTACACTGAATATGCACTGAAGTTGCTACTAATGACGTATATCAGCTGACTTCAGTTACAACATAACTTGCTGGTTAACTACAATATAGGTGTAATTACTAATAAGACCCCAAACCTTTTATTGTTAAATAAATAAAATTAAAAATGTAAGTTTCACTTTTCAACTGGAAAAAATACCCACACTGCTTTTGTGTGATTGAGGGGAGGGGAGGCATCTAAAACTGTAAATCTGAAAATAGCCTGCAACCCCCAAAATACTAACACTGTCTAGGAAGGAATAACAGTTTACACCATCTTAAATGGGATGAAGTAGAATTAGTGGGGAAGCCATCATACACACAGCAAATTACTTACGTCCTGCAGAAAACTGTGTGCCACATACTACCATATTTGCCGCTTTGCTGGGACACTTGGCATAACACAGGACAGTGGAATATGGTTTCCTGAAATCATGAAGCTGAAGTTGCACTGTAGTTTTGTTTATTGTTGTTAATAATTTGTCTTCTATATGAGTTTTATTTAGTATCATGTATAACTTTGCCATTTGACAGTTTACCGTAGAGTGGCAATTTATAGAAATGTTCAAACCCATCTGAATGACTGGAGCTGGCTCTATCCACACGTATCCAGAGCAGCGAACGTTTATGACACCTGTGAAAGCAGAATTGGATTAAAATAAGACTCTGGTTGCCTATTGAAATAGAAGAAGCGAACGTTTCGGTTATGCAGCACATTTGGCTGCACTTCTTTTTGATGAGTCAAATGATTCCAGTGGACGCTGCTTAAAACCAGGCCTTAATGAACGAGGTCAGACCTAAGTCCAACAATTGTCCCTGGTTTCTGCAGTGCTCCAGAGTAGCGTCCTGAGCGGAACTTCTACACCCACTTCAGGTATAGGTTAGACAATGGAGGATGTCTGTTGATTTTAGTTATGAACCTCCCTTGTAAAGCACTTTGAGATCTACTGAGGAAAAGCATTATATAGGATTTAAGTGTTGCTTTTGTTAAAATGAATAAGGCAATCAGTATAATATCCCTTGTATTATTTATTTGGATACTAAGTGTAACCTGTTTTACCCTGCACCTGCAGTTTCAGTTTGCCACAGATTTTTGCACTGAGACTGTGTGAGAAATACATGTTTGAAAACATAAGTGCTCGGGGCTGCGAGCTCCTGCCAGGCAGGGTGGTGGTGTGGCTGGCTCCGGCCGGGTGGCAAGACTGCCTGTCCCGCTACTCTGAGCGGTATGGTAAGGGGGTGGGGAGCAGGGGGTTAGATAAGGGGTAGGAGGTTCCGGGGGGCAGTCAGGGGACAGGGAGCAGGGCGTGGTCGGATGGGGCGGAGGTTCTGGTGGTGGGGGCAGTCAGGGGACGGGGAACAGGGGACGTTGGATAGGTGTGGGAGTCCCGGGGGGCCTGTCAGAGGGCGGGGGTGTGGATAAAGGTCGGGGTGGTTAGGGGCAGGGGGTCCCGGGAGTGCGTGGTCAGGGAACAGCCTTGTCCGGCCCTCCACACAGTTTCGCAACCCCGATATGGCCCTCGGGCCAAAATGTTTGCCCACCCCTGTGCAAAGCTATTGATAGCTAATGAGAGCTTAGAGTTTAGATCACAATGTCATGCTAAGGGGAACATTTCTACAGCAAATCAGTGGCTGTGAAATCCTGGAGTACAGAAGCCCTGCCTTCCAGACCCTCTAAAACAGGGGTCCCCAACGCGGTGCCCGCGGGCGCAATGGCGCCGGGGCAGTTGTGTGCGCCTGCAGGACACCGCGCCACCGAAATGCAAATGGGAAGCAAAGTGCTAGTGAAGATTAGTAAGGATGTCAGAATATGGCTCCATGGCCAGTATTTATCAATGATCATAAACTTAACTGGCAGCACCAATTAGCATGGGGTGGCTTCGCTGCCACCAGGCCTCCATATGAGGCAGCATGTAGCTGACCCAGGAACAGACTGGGAAGCAGATTTTGACTCTAGAGTCAGTCGTATTCCCAGCTCACCCAGCTGTGACAAAGGGGGAGAGGAAAGGTAATATATATGTGATCTATCATACATCCTGTAGTACACTGACTGGTTCATTGTGGGCATGAAGCCAAGGTTCCACCTGTGTGGGAGGGGGGAAACACAGTGACTCGATACTTGCTGTTCTCCCTTCTGCACAGCTCTCACTGGTACAGGTCACGGTGCAGAGATTAAGGGGGTGCCTCATCCCCAATGCCCCCACATTCTCCTGTGAAGGCACATAGAACCTGGCCCTCTGAAATGTCACTGAAATGCAGTAAGAACTCAGATAGGAATCACCTGACTTCACAAATTTCAGATTGTGCTTTAATAATGACTATAGGGAGATAACCTTTTAGAAACAGATCTGAGCTAGAGCAAATACAAGTGGATTAAGGCAGCTCCACGATAGAAGCACAACGGCCCCTTATGATCAGATTACAGCTCTGCACCAGAGATGACAAATTTAGCTTCTGAGTGATATCAGATGTGATCTGTTCTTCCTGGAAAGGCGTGGCTGCCTTGAAACCTCTGACTTCTAAAATGTGCAATAAAACGAGGCATATCTATATGTCTGTAGGTGGCAAACAGCTAATAGAAGGCCCCAAAATAGTTAATATGTTCATTTTATTTCAACTACATTCATTTTATACTTGGCGGTTTATCAGCTCTGTGTTCCGTTATGTTAGCTGAAATGTATTTATTTCTCTAAGACTCAAAACTACACTAACTATTGTTCCTGAATTCAGCACTGAGAAGTGGGGAGATGGAAGACAGACTATACCTCTGTAAATCCAGCTGAAGAGTATGTGGAGCACCACTGCCACCTTAAATCTCACCATGGCCTGATTGATCCGTGGCTGACGTCAGTGGAAAAGCATGGCCTCTGAAAAAATAAAATTAATATTAGACCTTTCTCACACTAAACAATACAATTCTGAGACCAGGTTCTAAGACAAAACAAAACTAATAACAGGAAAGGCCAGTATCAGAACCTATAATACACAAATGTCATTGGTCCTGCTAGTTTCTGGATCTGTACACACTGCTATAGCTCTGGTCCTACCTAACTTCCAGACCTACAGAAGGGCCTAAGGCAATTTTCCAGATCTACAGCAGCAAAAATTGAAAATGTTGGTCACAGTAGGATGAATCCTTAGATGCTGCTAAATACAGTGGACCAAATTCATGACTGGGGCAATTCCATTGAAGTTAATAGGGGTGTGAATTTGGCAAGGCATTGCTTAGAGCTGGTTGAGGAGGCAATATTCAGAGATCTGAGTTCCAGGGCTAGGGTTTGCTAGAGAGGAAAGTATACAGAAGCTATAATGTGGAATCTTATGTCTTTCATGGTGAGTACCTAAAGTAGATATGGCCTGATTTTCAGAAGTGCAGACCACCCACAGCTCCTGTTTTTAACTGGCTCCTTTCTGTCAGTTAGAGAAAAGGAAAATGACTTGCTGTAAGGTGGAGCACTTGGTTAATTTGCCTGCTGGTTATGACTTTGTTTCTCATTTTTCTATTTCTCTTCTTTCTTCTGCTTTGTTTTGAAGATAGATTTTGACTTCTTAAGAAAGATGTCACATCTACCGCAAATTCACTTGAGTACTTTCTAATTAGTACTTTCCTGTGACACTTTCTGGCACGTTCTGATGGTGAAGGGGATTTTTACCCCCAGTAATCTTCAGACACCCACATCCCCTTTGGTAGGGAGACAAAGTGATTTTTACCCCTCCTACTCCTGACCTATTGTGCAGGTGCCATCAGGCTCTAGAAGATTTAGATTAAGCCTCTGAAGTGCCTAGTAATTTTGGGTGTCTCTTGGAGCCCAACTTGAAACACTTTTAAAGTGGGCAAAGGGTGGGTACTCAGCACTTTCTCCAAATCAGGCCCCTTCAAAGTAGTCTCAAAGTTGAGCACCCAAATTCACTAGTCACTTTTGAAAATCTTGGCCTTAAGCCTCACTGCAACCTGATTGCTCTAGATCAGTTTTCCCCACTCTGTAGGCGTGCCTCCCTAGGGGGGCGCGGAAGAATGTTCGGAGGGGTTGCGGTGAGAACTGGGCCAGCCCCTATGGGGGGTGGGAAGGGAGTACCTCCCCAGTCCCGACTTGCGCCCAGTCCCCTCTCCAGCACTCCAGCTCCAGCCCCACCCCCAGTCAAGGTCCTGGTGTCAGGTCCCGGCCCCATCCATGGCCTGGCCCCGGCCTCAGACCCCAGCCTTGGACCCCGGCTGCAACTCTCACTTCTGGCCCTGGCCCCACTCCTGGCTGCAGCTCCATTCCTGGCCACGGCCCCAGCTGCAGGGCCAGCCCTAGCCTCGGCTCCCAATCCTGGACCTGGCTCCCAGAGGGTGCGGATAGATTACATTACGGATAAGGGGAACGTGGCATAAAAAGTTTGGGGACCACTGCTCTAGATGCATCTCTGCCAGCATTTGCAAGGACTTGGAATTTTTGAGCCTTGTAAAGATCTAGAGGTTTGATGTCCAGTCATCCATGGAGGAAGAAATAGACTGGGCCTGGAAATATATCAATGTTCTGAAGAGAGAGGCAATCCACTATGTACATGCATTCTTCTCATGAATTCATGACATGCATGGATTTTGGATAAACTTATTTTCTTGGTAAAGCCATCCAGAGACATCACTTCCTTGTAGGCTGCTGGTACTCACCACTTGAAGAGCTCGAATCTGAGCTTGGTTAGAAACAAAAGGAATAGGTGCAAAAATGTGCTGTACCCCTCTCTGCCCTCAGGGCATCAGAGCTTACACCATGTATTGCTACCTGGCATGGCAGAAATGGGACCGAATCTGGCTCTGAGCTGGGTGTGTTATTCCAGGGATATTCAGTAAACTCAGCACCATCTGGGTGACGTGAAACTTAAGAATGGCAGGAGCCCAGGCTCCATCCTCATTAAGCCCTTCTCTCTCTCTATCCACAGCTACTCCTCGCCCAGTGCTAGTCCCTATCTCCTCTCTTTGGAGCCTAATAGGAAGGCTGATCAGTGGCCTGCAAGCCCTCCCCTCACATTCATTCCAGGTCTTCAAGGGCAAGGTTATCGCCCCTTTACTGTGCGTCTAAAAGGCATGCTGAGTAGAAGCCTCCTTAGCCTGCCCTTTTCAGGGGGTTGTCTGATGAGACAGCTGTCCCCCAATCCTGGGAAGATCTTTTAAGGACAGGGGGTGTTTGGAAGCCTCTCTTCCCTTTATCAGGCAGCAGTGTGGCAGGAAACTTCTGCATTCGTGGCTCCTGGCTGTAGAGTGACTCTGGGAGTCATCATCAGCAGGAGCAGTTTGCTTCCTACCCCATTTGGGTGATGGAAATGGGTGGCTTCCAGCTCCCTGGAAGACTTTTTTGGTAGGATGGCAAGAAACAGAGAGAGCTACCAGAACACTCTCCTCCCTCCCACCCCTTCACTCCAAGCACAGAAGATGGGGCTAACTGCTGTTACTTTGAAGGCTCCCAGCAGGGAGGGAAGGGGACATTCCCCAAAGTCAAGACAAGAAGGAAGGGGGAATGGAGCTCTTCCCTGGATGATTTCAGACATATGGGGAATCCAGCAGCCTGTTAGGCAGAGGTAGGTGTGTGCCAGGAATGGATTGGAGGGTGAGGGTGGACATACCCCAAAGCTTAGCCCAGGCTCAAACCTTTTTGCAAGCCTGGGTTGAATTTTGGGGGTTGTTGTAATCATTTTTACACAGCCCTAGTTTTCACATGTGTGCTTATGTAACCCACACACTTCCTGGGTGTAGTGTTCTGTCCCATCCAGTGGCAGAGACCACTCAGAGAGAGAGAGAGAGAGAGAGAAAAAATGAGTTTGCTCTACAGCCTTGGCTAATAGCTAGTTGACTTTTAGCTCATGCAGTAGAGGCTCATGCACTATGCTCCGGAAGTCCCCGGTTCGATCCTGCTGACGACCAGGGTCTGTTGAAGTTACATTTCATGAAGCACATTCAATCTTAAACCTGCAGATGAATCTGGGTTAACGTTCATGCATTTATTTGATTGTTGTGTCTGTCTAAATCAGCACAGGCTTGCAAGTCATTTCTTGTCTAGACACACTAGTATCTCTTCTCTAGTTCTGGTGTGGAACCATTCAACTGCACTGAGAGGAACCTGTCTATAATTATGTACCACAATGGACTACCATTTAAAAATTCACTATTTAAATAAAACATTAAACGTTAGCTAAATTACAATAATTCAAAAACAAACTAATGGGTAAAGGGAGAGGATTAAAGGGTCAAAAAGACCAATGGATGGAACATGATTTCTGAGACCGTAATACTTAATGGCAGTAGGAAAAGGACCTAAGGAGATTTAGCCTTGCATCAAACATCTGGAAGCATACAATAGAATAAAAATGGCTCCAAATATCACAACATTCCAGCTAGTAGCAAGCTCATAGAATCAAGGTGCATCTTCCCACAAGAGCAGATCTGCAGAGGAAATATACTTGGAAAGCTCCAGTTACAGATGAATAATCTTCCTTATTAGAAGCAGTGCTAGAGACTTCAATGGGACTATTTACATGCATAAGATTATGCAAGGGGTAGTCAATTATTTTTTGTCAAGGTCCAAATTTCTTGCTCAAGATATAGTCAAGGTCCAGACTCCAAAGAAACGTTTTTCACACCACAACAATCTTTCTCAATTTCCTAATGTTTGCCAGTTATATAGAAAAGAAATCTGATATATTTCATATTTACTGTTTGATAGCCATGAGTTAGGCTTAATTCAGCTGTTAAGAAAAATGTCTTTCTGATAATACAAACATCAGCCTATTACAAAAATCTCTCCCCCCCGCCACCCCTGAAACAATAATGATGATAAGTAAATAAAAGATTTTGCGGTCCGTTCAATAGCATCTGGTGGTCCAGATTTGGCCTACGGTCCACCTATTGACTACCCATATGATGGGAGCTGTAATTGTTTTCCTAGGTCTCTTCCATTTATAATGCTATTAGATTGGTTTTACCTTCCCCTAACTTGTGCAGGATTAATCGCTCTGGTATTTTTCTCTAGGGCGTCATCCAGCCTAGTTTTAAAAGTCCCAAGCAATGGGTTTTCTACTTTTCTCCTTGAGAGACTAGCTTATTACTCTCAGGAAGTCTTCTCTAATACCCCATCTCAATTTTTCCTTGCTGAACTCGATCCCTTTACACCTAGTTTTAATCCCTCCATATCACCCTGTCCCTGACCATTTTCTCTCTTATGAACCCACAGCCCTCCAGAGAATGCCAGAAATCCACATGATATTTCGCAGTGCTGGACTTTTACATTGAGACCCAAGTTAGATGTAACATGGGTAAAATCAGAGAATTCTTGATTGATGATGCCTCTGAAGGGGCTAGACTATGAAATATCTGGAGCTGGTGAAACTTGGCACAGCCATGCTTATTTTTGATGGGTACACAAGCATGACTGATGGGCAGGGCTGAAACCTCTTCCTGGGATACCACATCTATTTTGGAGGCTATCTGCACATACACATTAGCTACTCAAGCACAACTTTGAGGCACATGAAAGTATGCTGCTGCAGCTGGCTCTCTGAGGGGAGTCAGCAGTGTTTCTATTTTGTGAGGCTATGCATTTGTGGATCTCAGTTCAAAACTGAGCTCTAGGAGATACAGGATTGGCACTAGCTGAAGGTCAATGATCGCTCTACCCTGCTGTTTAAACTGGTACTTAAGGCTATAGAAAAATGATCAAAAGTAGATATTGCCAAATAATATTTTTAAATAATCCCAATGATTTGAAAAAATATATATATTTCCAATGGAAATGGTAATTCTTCAACTGCTGTACATAGTGATCTAGAATGTCTAATGCATAACAAGAATCCTGGTATTTCTCCTTGTATTGCCTTTGCCACAGTGTCCTAAGATTTTCCTCTGTGTTGGAGATGGCAAAAATACTTCATAGTCCCTTTCATCAACTTTCATACTCTCTCTCCTTATCTGATCTGGTACATTTTATTTTAACACCCTGCCAACATCCTGCTACGTTCCTGCAAGTTAAAAGAAACAAATAAAAAACACACATGCTTTGAAAAAGTTCTTCTTTCAGAAGAACTTTCTAACCTCCAGCTGTAACATTTAGATCAGGATTTCAAACAACACCTGATTTGGGAGTTATTCAAATTTACGGTTTTATTCAAATTTATAGGGGCCACTTGCAAACTTTAGAATCAGATGCAGGCTTGGAATTTGAACATCCCAATAATTTAGAAGTATCTGGCGCTGGAGATTCGATCCCATCTCTACTAAGAACTCTGACTACTAAAAACCTCTTAGGGCAGGGGTGGGCACACTTTTTGGCCCGAGGGCCACATTGCAAAACTGTATGGAGGGCCAGGTAGGGAAGGCTGTGCCTCCCCAAACAGCCTGGCCCCCGCCCCCATCAGACCCCTCCCACTTCGTGCCCCCTGACTGCCCCCCTGAGAACCCCCTCCTGCACCTTGTCCTCTGACCTCCCCCTCCTGGGACCCCACCCCCTATCCAACCCCCCCTGCTCCCTGTCTCCTGACTGCCCCGACCCCTATCCACACCCCCGCCCCCTGACAGGGCCCCCGGGACTCCCACACCTATCCAACCCCCCATGTTCCCTGTCCCTTGACCGCCCCCCCCCCAGAACCTCCGCCCCATCCAACTGCCCCCGACAGGCCCTCCCAGGACTCCCACACCTATCCAACCACCCCTGTCCCCTGACTGCCCCCCAGGACCCCTCACCCCGGCCCTGGCCCCCTTACTATCTGCTCAGAGCAGCGTGTCTGGCAGCCGTGTCGCCCGGCCCAGAGGGCTGTCCGCGTGGAGGCATGGCTGCGGGTGAGGGGGAACAGCAGGGGAGGGGCCGGGGGCTAGTCTCCCCAGCGGGGAGCTCAAGGGCCAGGCAGGACAGTCCCGTGGGCTGTAGTTTGCCCACCTCTGTCTTAGACCCAGATTTGTAAAAGTATTAGGTGTTGGGGTGCTCAGCATTGCAACACCTAACTGACTTAGGTACCTAAGTCTCATTTTCAAAAGTGATTTAGGTACTTAAGACCCTAAATCCCATTGACTGTCAATTGGATTTTGGCTCCAAACTGTCTGAATCCCTTTTGAAAATGAGACGTAGGCTCCTAAGTCAGTTAGTTGCTGCACTGCTGAATGCTCCAGTGCCTAGATACCTTAGTATACTGACACTGCATTGTAATGTACAGCAGGGGTTCTCAACCTTTGTCTTTCTGAGCTCCCCCCAATATACTATAAAAATTCCACGGCCCATCTGTGCCAGAATAACTCTTTTCTGCATAGAAAAGCCAGGGCTGGCATTAGGGGGTAGGAAGCAGGGCAATTGCCTGGGGCCCACACCACAGGGGCCCCCGAGAAGCTAAGTAGCTCAGGCTTCTGCTTCAGCCCCAGGTGGTGGGACTCAGGGCTCTGGGTTTCAGCCCTGCATGGCAGGGCTTAAGCTTTCTGCCCTGGGCCTGAGTGAGTCTAACACTAGTCCTGCTTGGTGGACCCCCTGAAACCTGCTTGCGGCCCTCCAGGGGACCCCGGACCTCTGGTTGAGAACCACTGACTTACAGCAAATAATCTGGACAAAGCAGTTGTACCGTGTGAAGCATGTTTACAGAAAGCATGAACAAGAAAGCAGTAAAATACTCAAGCCTGCTGCTAGCAGCTTCAGATATAAACAACAAAATCTTATCAAAGTTTTGAGGAGTTTGGTTATTTTTTTACCTTGCCATCTGTCAGGACATTGTTCCATTTCTGTAGTCAGCTCCTTTTTTTCTCTACTCCCTGCTACCTCACAGCATTTTAAAGAGGCTGGGACTAATTCAGAGTTCACTGCTCTAACAGAAACTATCAGCAAAACCCTGACCTACATTACTGATCACTCAAAAATAGCTTATTGTTTCCAGTTTGACAAGTATCTTTGACTCTGAGTCATTCTGTGGGAAAACCCAGCACCCCTTAAAGAAACAGTCTCATTTTTTCTCTCGTGGCTTTTTGGAAAAGTTTATTTTTAAATTATTATTAGTCAGGGTTTTTTTAAAAAACAAACAAACAAACATTCTCAATTTCCTAATGTTTGCCAGTTATATAGAAAAGATAATCTGATATATTTCATATTTACTGTTTGATAGCAATGAGTTAGGCTTAATTCAGCTGTTAAGAAAAATGTCTTTCTGATAATACAAACATCAACCTATTACAAAAATCTCTCCCCCACCCCCAAAATGCTCCAGCTTTCAGCTGCATCAAATTTAATCACATTCTATTTCTGCCCCTATTTCCAGGCAGCTTATGTGTGAAATGTACAGAAATGTTCCTAATATTTACCTTACAGCATTCCACCAGTCACATCCCTCCATCCCAAACTGCTGCCCTTCTCACTTATTTCCTAAACTGAATTTATTACAGAATTTCCTCCTCTTGTTGAATGTTTTAAGAAGTAGATTCCCAGGATGTCTAATATTATATCCCAATGCTGTGATTAAGAATAGATTCTGACCACAACTTTAAAATATGGGCACCTAATGTGGGCACCAAACCTGCTTTCAGGTGTTCATGTGGACAGTTGGATACACAAATGCCATTTTTACCATTAAAACATGAGATTCTGACCATCCTATTTGACAAGTGAGTTCATAGTATCGCCTGTAACCTCTGGCCCTGTCACTTAGGTCAGTATAGAACAGTGAGCTCAGTATTGTGACAAGCACCTTCATTCCTCTACTAGAGGGAAAAGTACATTTCACCCCAGAAAGCCCAATTTTAATTGGGCTCTAGTCTGGTGAAGTGCAGTGGGTGAGAGAAGTGGTGCCAGGTGGAAGGGTGCAGCAAAGCCCACCCACAACTCCTACTCCAGTCTATGGACTACAGTCCATTCACACCACAGAGGCAGCCACCAATGGATTCATTAGAAGGCGCAGAGTTCTGCAAAGAATGCTCCAGGCAAAGAAGAATTGTATGGCAAGAATATCCTCTTTTGAAGGAAGAGGGCTGTAAGAGATGTCCCTGAAAGGTGAGACTTTCTCCAGAAAGTTACCCAAATGGAGGAAAAAGTGTTTCTGCCGAGGGCTGTTTTACAGGTGTTGTTCTCTAGAAGAAATGAAGAAGTCCCTTAGGGAGATCTCTTGCTCCTTGTAACCCTAGTATGTGCTTTCCAGTAGATGCCCTCTCTCTTAAAGTAGGGGAAGGAGAAATCAGGATTAAAAATGAAGTCTCTAAAGCAATGGTAGACATTGTAATCTAAGACATTGCTTGTTGTATGTGGCATTAAGGCAAAAAGAGCACGTAAAGGGTGATGTGAGTGTTTAGAGGGTCCCATTAACGTAGGTTACTTCTCAGCAGATTTTCTTCAAAACTTTAGCTAGTCTGGATAAATACAGTCCTGCTCCTGAAGAACCTTTATGGATTCTAGGAGGCATAGACCTATACAAGGCAGTTCCCTAAAAATTCTGTTGTGGGGGGTGCTCCTTTTAGGGGAAAGGCTGCTGGCTAGGACCCCACTAAATCACAAGTGAGGGCTGCTGGCTAGGACCCCACTAAATCACAAGTGATAAGGCCATCTGGTCCCAGCAGGGTAGAGTTGAGGCAGGGTGCGTTGGCAACAAAAGCTAAAGGGAGGAATTTAGGTCTGTGAGGCAGGGTTTTTACTGGAGATTTGGGTTCCACATCAACTGGGTCTCCAGACATCTGAGAACAACATCTGAGAACAAGTGATACCTGATCTGAACCCCCTAGGATTGCGGGGAGAGAGGACCTAGATTTGACAGGAACCTGAGGATTGGGGTGAGATGTTTGAGGATTACATTAGCATAATATTTTCTCAATCAGTGACAGATTTTTCTCCACTATAAAACACTTTTAAAGAGGTGGCTTCTTTTCTCACGACAAGTTTAAGAGTTAACCTCAGTAGCTGTGTTAACCTCATTAGACACTGTAACCACACAAAACATTTACCACATTCTGCTAGGGTGGTATCATTTTATATTTGCAACAGTTTAAACAGAAATAAAGCTCACCTAAAAAGAGTCTCTGGCTTATGGAGCACCACGCACACCAGCACCTCTTACTGCCTTTAAACCGACCAATGCTTTTCATGAAAGTGAGGGTCAGGAAGCGAAAGTGGCCAGTCTTAGGGCCCAAGCCTCATCTAATGTAACTTTCCATTGACTTCAGTGGAACCAGGCCACTTTACACCAGCTGGGGATCTGGCCACTAGTCTTTCAAAAAGAAATATTTTAGTTTAATGTTCATGAATTATGTTTAGGGGACCCCAGACTGAGCAGCTGCTTATCTTCCTTTGTTGCTGGCCAAACTCACTACCTGCCCACATGGTCTCCTATGTCATCATGAGGGGGTAGAGCCATTTTCTCATCAATGGCTCTCCCTTTAAAGATAATTAAAGCAGCAGAATTACATTTTAACACATGCGGCATAATCCATTCATTCTTAGCCCTGTTACCTATGTCAGGGGTCAGGGCCTGCAGCGGAGTCAGTCTCCTGGCAACCCTACAAGCACAGCTGGCCTGCAGCAGACTACCTGATTGACTGCACCATCTGACTGGTCAGGAAGGGCAGCTGGCTGGCTGCACAATGTGTATCATGCCTGTCCCTGCTCCTGCTTGTTCCAGTTTCCTATTGGCGCCTGTCTCTCCAGTGCTGATCCTCAACTCTGCATCTGACCTATGACTCCGGTTAGCCTCTGGCTCTGGCATTTGCCTTCTGTCCCTCCAGCACTGGCCCTGGGCTTGTTCCTGAACTCTGCCCACCATGGACCCAGCTGTAATTGGTAGTCTGAACTCTCACTTTAACCACTAGACCAGCCAGTCCATGGCCTGGTGTCTAACAGCCTAGTGCCTTACTACACAAGTAGTCCCACTGAAATCATTTAGACTACTGGCAGAGTAAAGTACTACCAGCATGAGTAAGGAAGGCAAAATAGGTCCTACAATAAACACTAATAATTAAAACAGTATTCTTCATGAATCAGTTGTAAAAAAGTGATTTAATCACACCAAGAAGAATCCTGCCCTTAGAAACTTGCATACCACTCCCATTTGATTTCAAAGATGCAGTAGTTGCATGCTGATAGCCAAGGATAGAACTTGTCCCAGAGTTATGAGTCTATTTAAACTTTATACAGAAGTGCAGGCTTCTGACCTAAATGTAATAGCAAGCATGTGGTTTGCATCTCTGCTTAAACAGAGAACACATTGTTTTTGACAGTGCTTAATTATGCATTTGAAAAAAGGTCAATTTTGTATAGGTTACTCCTTGGGGACTTGGAGAGTGTCACCTGTCTACCAACTTTTTCCTCTTTTCTTTTAATGTAATACAGGAACAGCCCAAGCTGCAAAATTCACAGCTGTATAAACCCCCTAAATCTGGATGCTTGGATCCAGTATTTTAGTTCTGGTCCTTCTTCAGTAGTCAGTATATTTTTCATGTTGATAGCTCTTACTTCAAACAAGCAACTGGCACCTTGGTCTTAGGAAACACGTTTCACATTTCTTTCCTTTCTTCCTTATTACATTTCCTGGCTCGCTGGCAGCAACTGTTCTGCATGTCTCACTTGCTGGACCCATACATAGTATTTTACTGCATCTCACAAAGAATCCAGGCTTTGATCCTGCTCCATTGAAGGGCTATTGGCTACACTGGGAGCTGGATCAGGTCCCTAGATAAGCCAAATAATTGTATTTTTAAAATTACTAAAAATATTTAGTTTAGAAAAACAAGGAACGGTAGGCCTAATTGTTTTTCTTACTGCCAACTCCAGGGTGTGGTTCCCACTATTTAGTCACAGGGGTTCTTTTACATATTTAGGGGACACCATGATCAAGACTAAGCAAAATAATCGCAATCATTGTCCATACCTATTTTATTATTAAAGATAGAAAGCCTTAAACAAACCACACAACTGATAAACTGGTGGCTTCCGTTACAATCTCTTCTTAGGGTTAGGATTAGGGTTCGGGTGAACTGGAATTAATTTGCAAACTGGACACCATTAAATTAGGCTTGAATAAAGACTGGGAGTGGATGGGTAATTACACAAAGTAAAACTATTTCCCCAGGCTAATTTTTCCCCTACTGTTACTCATACCTTCTTGTCAACTGTTTGAAATGGGCCATCCTGATTATCACAACAAATTTTTTTTTTCCTCCTGCTGATAATAGCCCACCTTAATTGATTGGTCTCATTAGAGTTGGTATGGCAACACCCATTTTTTCATGTTCTCTTTTTCATATATATCTTTGTGGCAGGGCAGGGGTAAACCCCTTGAATGCCCTGCTAAAATGCTGCCTAAGCCCTAATCTCTGGTAGGGAGGCCAGGTGCGGGGGCCCAGGCGGTCAGCAGAGAGCCCAGCTGCAAGCCCTAAGGAGGGCTGGTTCACTGCTATGAGTTGAGTTAAGTAGTGACAGCTGGGCTAAAGAGGAGAGGGCTATAAAAGCCCTGGGGAAAGCTCAGTTGGGAGGTGAGCCTGGGAGGGGATAGGAGGGTTACATCTCTGTCTCCTCACCCAAAGAAGGGAGGGTCTGACTGGGGATAGCTGTTGGGGGAAGAATGGGGATAATTCAATGAATTAAAACAATAAACAATAAAACAATAATTGTTTCACTGTAAATAAAGACACAAGGGTGAAGCACTGAAGAAGGCGTGGGGACCCTTTTTTTAACCAGCCAATACAGGGCACAGGCACAAGAGAGTGGAAACTTGAGCAGATGCTGTGACAATCTTCCTACTGTATTTTCCACTGCATGCATCTGATAAAGTGGGCTTTAGCCCACGAAAGCTTATGCCCAAATAAATTTGTTAGTCTC